ATAAAAATTAAGGATTTGAAATTTAAACACTGAAATACTTGTTTTCCAATTCCCCCAAATCGTTAAACTTTATTGAATAAATGTTAATATATATATTCTTACATATTCCTATTAAAATCTGTGGCAAAGAGATCTTTTGACTTGCATTTTCTCCTAATACCTGTAGTTTATACAGGATCTTTTCTACCTTTTCTTACAATTTTGGGAGTAATGGGATATGCCTTACCTGCCATCCACTCCGCCTGTATGTTATGCCAGATGTTGATGTTCTTATCTCCATTTCCATGCTTCATGAGCATAAAAATATCTGGCTAATATAGTGTATTAAATCTTAGTCTTTAACCCCAGCCACCCCATCAGATCCATAGCTTGAGCCTGATGTCACCAAATTCTAAGTTCTGTCATGGTATTCTAAACAATTGTCTAGCAGTTCTTTGTTGCCAAGGATATTGACGCATTCCAGAAACATGGAGAATTTCAGCCCGAGATCTTCAGCTCAGGTCCATTCCCGGTATGTGTTTAACTCTCCGAGGACTTGCTTCACCTGATTTTACTCGTTTCACATACTACCCAACGGGATTCTTTTTATTCCACTTGACCAATTTATTATATTGATTATAGTAATAATGCCTCATAAATGTGTCTAGAAAGCCATGAAGAAGTTGGCATATAGGAAGCCGACAAGAGCCAAATTGCAAATGATCAAGCACCACCAACAGTTCTCTTCTTAAATACCTCCCTACAGAGAGAGCTGTTGTTGTTTTTAATTAAGAACAAAGATTTAACGACACCCCAGACAAAGACCAACAAACTCAAGAACTCTCCATATTATATATTTTGGAAAAAACACAAATCACAGCTTGTAAGCAGGTATACATGCAAAACCACTGAGAACCAATATTTTTTGGTACTGTACCCATCATGAGTATTTATGCTAGTTTAGCTAAAAGCAAGTTACTTGCTAGTATGACACATCCTTTACTTGTCTCCCTTTAGTGTTACGATCAGGAAGTTGATAATTCCTTCTATAACTCTGATGAGTGTTATTTAGTAGAGATTATTAGAATATCCATTACCACTTAACATAATTGCTTTTACTACTTTATTATCCCATTCATCAGGTTAAGAGACCTTCAAGCTGTTTATAAACCTATTTTCTAATTTAAAATTGCATCACAAAAAAGGAAGTGGAGGGAAAGCAACAGAAAAGCCAACTCAGATACTAGTTCTTAATGTCACAATTGTTTTAGCACAGGCATGTCAAACTCGTGACATCACGGGATGTATCATGACTTTTTCCCCATTGCTGGCAATGGGGTGGGTGCGGTTTCAGTGTGACACATCTGGCCTGTGGGGTGGCAGTTTGACATGCCTGTTTTAGCAGGTAAGAGAAGAAAAATGTGGATAATTCAGTACAGCTAGTCCTCAACTTACAACAGTTCATTTTGTTTGAAGTTACAACGGCACTGAAAAAAGTGACTTGTAACCATTTTTTCACACTTACAACACTTGCAGCATCCCTGTGGTCATGTGATCCAAATTCAGATGCTTGGCAACTGACTCATATTTATGTTCCAGGATCATGGATCACCTTTTGCGATCTTCTGACAAGCAAAGTCAAGGGGGAAGAGCCAGATTCATTTAACAACTGTGTTACTAACTTAACAACTGCAATGATTCACTTAACAATTGTGGCAAGAAAGGTCATAAAACAGAGAAAAAAAATCACTTAACTGTTTCAGTTAGCAACACAAATTTTAGGCTCAATTCTGGTCCCAAGTTGAGGACTATGGTACCTATAGAATGGATATGCCCTGTGACAGGAGAATGGTGCAGTCAAAAGTAGCTGATCTCAATACAGTAGGAGCAATTGAATACACTTGTTTCATCTATACCCCAGCTTGATAGCATTACCGCTACAAGATGATGATTAAAAAAACAGCTAGAAATATTTTGTTGCTTATCAGAACTCCATTTTTCCCTGATGCCTAACAGAATAACTATTATTATTATTAATAATAATTTATTGCATTTATATGCTGCCCAACTCTCAACTGCTCTGGGCTGCTTGCAATCATTAAAATATTTAAAAACAAAGAACAAATGAGTTATTGAACTCTTTACAATCTATTATATCTAGTTATAGGGTAGACAAAAATTAGCATTTGAGTGGATTTTTCCATTATCTTGAAGGATGTTACTTTTCTATGTGATTTAAATACAAGATAAATACAGAGAGGATATTAGTATTAGTATTCTAGAGAGAATCTCCAGAATAAAAAAAATAATCTTTTAAATATTAGATATATAGGTAGTCCTCAATTTAAGACCACAATTGAGCTCAGAATTTCTGTTGTTAAGTGAGACATTTGTTAAGTGAGTTTTGCTTCATTTTATGATTTTTCTTGCCACAGTTGTAAAGTGAATCACTGCAGGGGATAAGTTAGTCACCTGGTTGTTAAGTGAATCTGGCTTCCCTATTTGATTTTGCTTGTCAGAAGGTCACAAAAGGGGATCACATGATGCTGGGACACTGCAACCGTCCTAAATACATGTCAGTTGCCAAGCATCTGAATTTTGATCACATAACGGGGATGCTGCAAAGGTCGTAACTGTGAAAAATGGTCATAAGTCACTTTTTTCAATGACGTTGTAAATGAAAATGGTCACTAAATGAACTGTTGTAAGTCGAGGACAACTTTTATACATTAGATGTATAAGAAGAAAAGTGGAAGCGGTCAAAAATGATGAGTAGAGTCTTGGCCTGCTACAGTGTTATGTTCCTAAATTATAAAGAAATAATTTCAGTAATTAATTTTTCACTAATTAATAATTACTGTCTATTATATATCTCTCTCAATCTCTCTCTCATATATAATATCATGTATCTTATATTCTAGAATGAAACAAAGGCTGTGAAAATATTTAGAGATCCTTCACATCCTGGACATAAACTGTTTCAACTTCTTCTCTCAAGAAGATGCTATAAAGCAGTGGTGGCAAACCTATGGCACAGATGCCAGAGGTGGCACTCGGGGAGCCCTCTCTGTGGGCACACGTGTCATTGCCCCAGCCTTGCCTCCCCCCACGACCCCCTCTCCAGCAGCCCCCCTGAAGGAGAGTCGCCCCGAGCATGGCCCACACAGAGCAGCGTAGCCAAGGACATGGCAGCCAGGCAGTGTAGACAAGACTCTGCCCTGACACCCCATCATGTAGTTGATGCTGCAGGGCACAGGCAGAGGGTGTGGCCGCCATAGTGCTGCTGGGATGCCTGGCCGATCTGCAGCAGGCCCTGGAGGCAATGATTGGTCCTGTGGCCAGGCGGGGCAAGGGATGGGGTGGCAGAGTGGGGGCAGGGCAGGGGGGTGGAACAGGGGCAGTGCCAGTTTTTGGGCACTTGGTCTCTAAAAGGTTCGCCATCACTGCTATAAAGCATCCTACACAAAAACAACCAGGCAGAAAGTTTTTCTCCCCATGCCATCACTCTGTTAAATAACTATTTCTCACAACAATGTCTATGCCCTGGGATGTTAGACCACTTAATAGGGCTGTATTATTTATTATCCTCATCTGTCCTATTACCTATTTCCTTAGATTCTTATACCTGTAACTTCTTGTTGTGTCTCACGATTTATATTGCTTTTGTTTAGTATCCTATTATAATTTATGTTGATTGCTTTTGTTTAGTATCCTATGATTTATGTTGATTGCTTTAGTATCCTATGACTATCACTGAATGTTGTATCTGTGATTTACGATTTTATGATTACGATTATCACCTGTTGCTTGTATGTACAGAGAGCTTATGCACTGGAGACAAATTCCTTGTGTGTCCAATTGTTGTTGTTGTTAATTGCGAAGTCATGTCCGACCCATCGCGACCCCATGGACAATGTTCCTCCAGGCCTTCCTGTCCTCTACCATCTTCTGGAGTCCATTTAAGTTCACACCTACTGCTTCAGTGACTCCATCCAGCCATCTCATTCTCTGTCGTCCCATTCTTCTATTGCCCTCAATCTATCCCAACATTAGGCTCTTCTCCAATGAGTCGTTCCTTCTCATTAGGTGACCAAAGTACTTGAGTTTCAACTTCAGGATCTGGCCTTCTAAAGAGCAATCAGGGTTGATCTCCTCTAGGACTGACCGTTTTGATCGCCTTGTAGTCCAAGGGACTCGCAGGAGTCTTCTCCAGCACCATAGTTCAAAGGCCTCAATTCTTTGGCGCTCAGCCTTTCTTATGGTCCAAATTTCACAGCCATACATGCAACTGGGAAAGCCATGGCCTGGACTATACGCACTTTTGTTGGCAGGGTGATGTCTCTGCTTTTTAGTATGCTGTCTAGATTTGCCATAGCTTTCCTCTCCAGGAGCAAGCGTCTTTTAATTTCTTGGCTGCAGTCCCCATCTGAGGTGATCTTGGAGCCCAGAAAAATAAAATCTGTCACTACCTCCATTTCTTCCTCATCTACTTGCCAGGAAATAGATGTGTCCAACAGCACTTGACAAATCTATCTATCTATCCATCTATTTATCTATCGTAGTTATGAGAAGTCAAGCAATTGAAAATCAGGAAACAGGATAATTAGTGCTCTTCCTGCAGATTCGTGAAGCCTGTGCGTATTTATTTATGCGTTAAGTTACACACGGGGGGGAAAAAGGTCTTAAAGCAAATATAGGGCTTTTCACGGGTTCAGTTTCCCCTTCGCTCTTCTTGGTTAGTCAAGAACAGTAGGATTTCTAAAAGGCCACTGTTCGCTCTTCCGGAGCAGCCCGGTAGGGGGGACTCTTTATGCGGCTGCACCCTCCCTACAAGAGCAGCCACCAGAAGGGACCGTTGCTCAGGCAGCCCTCTCTGCCTCTATCTCTCTCTCTCTCCCCCCCCCCCCCCCGCTCGCCCGCCCTACGCGTCTTCCCCGTTTCCTCCTCCCGCCGGCCTCTCCTCCTCCTCCCCCTTCGCCTCTTTCTCGCGAGGTTTCCCCCAACTCTCGCGACAGCCCCGCGTCGCCATCTTAGTTATTCTGGCGCGGTGGTCTCCGTAGTCGCTGCCGTCAGCGCCGCCGGGGGAAGGAGAAGAAGAAGCAGAAAAAAAAAAAAAAGGCGCAAGCAGCGGCCTTGGCAAGCCAGGTTGCGCGGGCCGAGCTGCAACGGGCCGAGCTGCGAGAGCGGAGTTTTTCTCGCTGCCCCGGCCGGGTTGTTGGGGGCGACCAGCTGCCCCTTCCCTGCGGCCGGCCCCGCTTGCGGAGCGGAGTGTCGCGTCAACTGTCGTTGCTGGCCCCGCCCCCTTTCTTGGCTGGGGCCCGGGGCCCTCGCGGCCACCTCGGCCATTGCTGCTGCTGCTGCTCGGGGAGGCGGGGCTGGGGCCGCTCTGGATGGTGGTTAAAATGATCATAGAAAACTTCGAGGCGCTGAAATCCTGGCTCAGCAAAACCTTGGAGCCCATGTGAGTAACCGAGCCAGCCACTCCCCTTGAGCCCCTTATAAGGGCTCGCGTGTGCACCCGGACACTGTGTGTGTGTTTGGGGGGGGGGGTTTCCATACACGCAGTGTGGCAATCTCTGCCTCTGGAGAGCTGCTCCTACAGCCCTAAATGGCCCCTGCTTTCCAATTGAGGAAGTTCCCCCACTTTGTATTAAAACATGGCGATGTGTAACTCTTCCCACCCCCCCCCCAGCTCTCCTTTGAGATCGTGTTTCATGGGGATGCTGCTATACGTGTAAAGGAGAGTGGGAAGGGGGATGCTATGCAGGGAGGTTTTAGATAACCCACCGCTCGGTCATCTGTGACAACATTATTCAGTTCATTCAAAGCTTAACCTGCCTATGTCGAAATTAAACTGCCAGATTAATGCATGGATTGGAACCGTGCAAAAGAAATCTCTAGCGCTGCTACTTCAGTATGTTTGTCATTGAGTCATTTTTATGAGGCTCTGAAGTGACCAGGGAGCCAGTAACTCTGCAGGATACGCCAAAATGGAATAAAAGGAACACTGGGAAAGCCAGATGAAAAAAACAAAACATGCAGATTGACTTAGGTTTTATCTCAAACTCTTCCCCTGTTACCACAGTGCCAGCAAAAACCCAAAACTAATTCAGTTTAACAAACGAAAAGCAGCAAAAACCTAGTTGTAATGGAAATCAAGCAGGACCATGGTTTCAAAACTATAGAAAACATTGGGTAATCGCTTTGAAATAACAATAAATGATATAATTCCTTTGACCAAGCCTGCTTCTGACGCTTAGATAATCCAATTGCTTCACTCCTGGATCATCTAAGTGTCAGAAGCAGGCTTGGTCAAAGGAATTATATCATTTATTGCTATTTCAAAGCGTGCAGTTACCCAGTGTTCTCTATAGTTTTGACACCGTGGTCTTGTTTGATTTCCATTACAACTAGGTTTCTGCTGCTTCTCAGTTGTGCAACTGAGTTAGTTTGCAAAGATCCATGTTGCTATCAATACATAGAAATAATCTTCAAAATAGCAATAAATGACTTTTTGCCTGATACAATTCCTTTGATCAAGCATGCTTCTGACACTTAGATGATCCAGGAGTGAAGCAACTGTGTCATCCTTTTGGGTTTTTGCTGGCATTGTGATAATAAGGAAAAAGTTTGAGATAAAGCATAAGTCAGTCTTCATGTTTTGCTTTTTCACCTAGTTTTCTTAGTGTTCCTTTTATTCTATTTTGGTATATCCTGCAGAATTACTGGTTCCCTGATAATTTCAGAGCCTCATAAAACCACTCCATGACAAACATACTGAACTACCAGTTGTAGAGATTTCTTTCTATATAACTAGGAAACATAATGTGTTGAAAACTGGTTCTTATTGTTAAAGTGGAATCTGGATTGATATATGGTTCCAGGTAGGATTTTTAAAGAACCAGCTTAAGTAGATAATTAATTCAATTATTTACTTCTTCCTTTGGTTCTTTAATTAATAAGATTCAGAGCAAAATCTGATTTTGTACAATTGTTTGGCATAGTTTTCAACAGCAGCGTTTAACTGAAGTTACTATTATCTTGAATAATGAGGGACTTTTTTAACCTTGAAGACAATTACTCTATACAATTGTGAGATCAAAATCTAAAATTCATTTCATTGAAAATATTTTTACAGCATTCAGAAACTTATATGCAAGAATACAAGGTGTAATATGCAGTAAAGGATGGTGCAAACTTTTGTTATGTTAATGGATATGTCTCCCATTTTAATTTAACTGCTGCACAAAAGCTAGGTGAAAGAAAAATTGTTGGATTAATGTTCATTCTACTGTTTTGGGAAACTGAACTATAGAAGCTTTTCGATATGCTTTTATACTTTATATGGATACAGTTTATGCAAACTCATCAGTGAAGTTTAGAAGACTTAATATTCTGCTCAACTTGTGAACTGATTTTTCCTCCATTCCCAAAAATCTTGTTTCAGCACCAGAGAGTAGCTATCACAAATAAAACGTAATACTAGGGATGGGGTATTTTTTTGGAGAAAACCATAATTTTACATAAATAGAAGTTATATATGTCTTAGTTGAGCTTGTAAAAGTGATATTGAAGTTGGAATCAATATTAGATTATGAGGGTACTAGAACGCCTACCATTTTACCCATTATTGCAGTAGCAAGATACTAGAATAGGGTAATGCATAAATTTTGGCAAGTGTACACACATGTACACACATTATGTTTCCTTTCAAGAGCCACAGGCCTTATGTGTAGTAGAATTCGCATATAATGGAACTTCAAGCAATGGAGTTGCATATGCAGAATGAGTTCTAATCCAGCCTATTTTTTATTTCATTGGAAGTTTGCATTAGTGTAATGTTAGTATATATTTTCTTGATAGAGGAACATTCGAAACATGACTTCTCCTCCTCCCTGCATTAATATTTTGATATATACGTAATTTTTGACTTCTGGCCACAATTGAGCCCAAAATTTGTGTTGCAAAGCAAGATAGTTGTTAAACGAGTTTTGCCTCATTTTTACGACCTTTCTTGCCACAGTTGTTAAATGAATCACTGCAGTTGTTAAGATAATAATACAGTTGCTAAGTGAATCTGGCTTCCCCATTGACTTTGCTTGGCAGAAGCTCACAAAACCTGATCATTTAACCCTAGGACACTGCTAGATATATGTGGTTGCCAAACGTACGAATTTGAATCAAATAACCATTGGGATGCTGCAGTGGTCATAAGTGTAAAAAACAGTCATAAGTCACTTTTTTCAATGCTGTTGTAACTTCAAATAGTCACTAAATAATGGTTGTAAGTCGTGGACTATCTGTACAGCAGTTGCGTCTTCTTCAGAACTCATTTTAGTACATGACTTGATTAGACTTGGGGTGGGGGTGCAAAAAAGTGAATTTATTTAAGCTTTAATTTGCTTATAATATACTCTCTGTGCATGCATGTCTATGTATATTAAGGTGACTTTTATGTACCACACATGTTGAGATGACTTTTTTGGTTACTAATCTTTCTTCACAACTCTTTGTGAAGAACAATGGCTGCCCTAATCCCATTTATCTTTTCAGTAGGCTGGAGGATTTCTTCATACAGCAGTAAATCAGCTACACTTACTGCAAAAATAAGTTTTGATGTATCATTCTGAATAACCTTTCCTATTGTTTTCTATCGTTCTCCCAAGTTGGAAATGTCCCTGGAGATATTATCCATGCAGATTGGGCAAACAGTTTTAGCGTTGTTACAAGTGTTGATTTACTGCACTGCTCCTTTGGGGGTGTTTCATTTATATCTGATTTGAACTTGTTGCTTTGCCTTTCCTCAAATTATTTTTTTAGGATTTTAAAGTAACTACTTATTTCCGCATTGTGTTCTTTACACATCATTTAATAATACTGGACAATTGAATATTTTATCATATATTGACATTGTGGAAACATAAGCTCATTAAAATACAGTGTTCTTTATTCTTGTTACATACCCTGGGATTTTGTAAACCATTATAAAGGGAATATGAGTAAGACGATGCTTTAATTGTAACTCCTTGTATCTTCTTTGGCAAATAAGAGTGGTACATTATAAGTGAAATTATAACAAAGAAAGGAAAAGTCAGCAACCTTGGAATCAAAATTTTGCTGAAAATGTGAGAACAATTAAGAAAAAAACAGGGAAACATCAAAGATGAGAGTATAGCACCACAAAAAAGTACTTACAAATAATATCTAGAGGTCTCCCAAAGTATCAGTAAGAGAATTGAAATTGAGAATGAGAGGCAAGGTTTCTAAATGAAATTCCCATTTTTAGAAAATATTTTATATACTCACTCCCAAGATTGCTGTTAAGATCAAATCCTTTTAGCTTTTAGTTATTTGGAGGTTTTAGCAGTGGAGCACAGCTATTGTTGACTGAAAATTGGTATACTATTGCAGCTTCATGGAGCAGTGAGGGAAAAAAATAGTCAGATCAACCATAGGAATCAGTGGGGTGAAAAATGTTGCTGCCAGATAGTCTTATAACAGCTTTTACATTTATTTATGAGGAGATTGTACGGCTGATCCATTCAGAAGAATTCTTGGATGCTTTGGGATCCCTGAAATAAGAAGAATAACCAATCATTACTAACTGGATTGATTCCTTGATATTGCCAAATTTATACTTAATATTATCAGAAATATAACCAGTGTGCAGGCCAGAAAATTGGGTACAACTATGGCAATTACCGTAGAGCCAGGAATTGAAGTGTGCAGCTATTACCTATTTTGTTTCTTTCTGCAGTTCTTTGTTCATTTTGTTAAGATTAACAAGTTGTCAATGAAGAAGTGAGGAAACTTTTCATGTAAATGAATTTTTGGATATGGATTTATTTCTTATATTAGGAGAAAAGATATTTTCATACATCTCGGTTCATAAACATCAGAACTTGTTTTGTTTTTAAACGTTTCATACAGGTTCATTCATACACATTAATTCATAAACTTCAGAACTTAATAGAACAGTATCCTGTGATTGCTAAGCCCCAATTGGTTGCAGCTTAGATGATGGACCTCCAGATCCTGTGAATTACGATATCCAGTATATCCAAGTTTGGTGTAGTGCAGGGGTAGGCAACCTTGGCTCTTTTATGACTCGTGGACTTCAACTCCCAGAATTCCTGAGCCAGCCATGCTGAGGGGAAAGGGAGAGTTTCCAAGCTGAGCCATGCTGGCTCAGGAATTCTGGGAGTTGAAGTCCACGAGTCATAAAAGAGCCAAGGTTGTCTACCTCTATAGCAGTTAAGGCAGTGGTTCTCAACCTTTTTAATGCCGTGACCCCCAACCAGTCATAAATTGAGGACTAAACCGATCATAAGTCGAGGACTAAATCGGTCATAAGTTGAGGACTAACCAACCGGTCGTAAGTCAACTTTCCCTGCCCGGGAGCGCCGTGCATGCGTGGTGCTGCCCCCTGCTCTGGCCGAGGCGTAACTGGCAAGTGGCAGAGAGGGAGCAGGCCGACCACCGGCAGGGCAAGGGAGGTAAGACACCCGCTGGAAAAGGAGAAAAAAATGGCGGACAGCCTTGCTTGGCGACCCCCGTGAAATGGTTGATCGACCCCAAATGGGGTCGTGACCCATAGGTTGAGAACCGCTGGGTTAAGGCATCAGGCTAGAAACAGGGAGACTTGGGAGACTATGAGTTCTAGTCCCACCTTAGGCACAAAGCCAACTGGGAGACCTTGGGGTAGTGACTTTTGCTCAGACTTAAGGAGGCAGTGGCAAGCCACTTCTGAAAAACCTTGCTTAGAAAACTGCAGGACTTGTCCAAGTAGTTTGTGAGAATTGGACATGATTGAATGAAAGGGGGGGGGGGGAGCTAGTGATAGAAAATGTTGGAAGCTGTAGTTCAGCAAGACTTAAAGGACTGTAAGTTTTATCAATATGATTAGTTAAAATTATATCTGTAATTGAAAGACACTTAAATTTCAAGTTATTTTATAAGGCTTTTTCAAATAGTGTAAGAGTTTAGGTTTGAAAAAAGAAAATTGCCTTTCAAAATTATCCCTACAGTCTAATTACACACGTTGGAATTTATCAGACACTAACTTTCTTACTTTTGACAGAGTTCATATTAGAAATGAAATAAATTGCAGGTATTAGTTTTAAGGAGTAGATAGTATGACGTCAGAAAATGAAGTCATTTACAAACTAAAAGTAAATCTTACCTGATATTTTCCTTTATTTTCAGCTGAAATCAATCTTGTATTCCATGCTATGGTTAGCTGTACTTATAGCTTTGTCTGACTCATTTCATTTAAAATTCAGTCTGAAAATAAAGAATGTATTAATAATTTATTTGCATTATAATGTGCAAAATATATATCAGAAAATTGGACCCACACCAATAAAAGCTTTTACTTGCTTTAAAAAAAATTAACATAAAAACTTTAAGATCTATAAGCTTCTGTTCTGTGGTTCTTAATTCAGCTCCAGATTAAAGGAGAAAAAGCCCTGAAGCATATTTATATCACTTAGATATAGAAGGAATTTATACTAAAACCCTGTGTTAAATGTTTAACATAAATCTTGTGTTAAATATTGCTTCTTTGTTATAACTGCTTTTTGTTGAAAGGATATGCTTCAGGAGATATCATTAAAGTATTGTAAAGTTAATTTTTAATTTAGAAGAACATGCAGTCTTCCAAATCTCTCTGATATATTTGAAAATGCTTCCATTTTTTAGAAATCACCTTTGAAGTTTGCTTTCTCATGATGTTAATGTTAGTGGGTTGATGAAATCCTTGTAATGTAGATTGAAGCATTAATATAAAACAAGATTGTTGAACCTAAACTAAGTATTATTCTATCAACATTTGAAGAAGTTTTTGATTAGGAAAAATATCTGGAGATACTATATTCTCAGAAGGCTAAACTCCTTTTCATCATGATTATAGAAATTCTGTGCTGCCTTTCAAATTTACATTACTTGGATTAAAAAAAAACCCCTCTCTATAACTGAATTGTTCTTTGGGGTGTATTTCTGGGGAGGGGCACTTTTGATGAAATCTTTTATTTTTAGAACTAATGCTATTTTTCTTTCTGCTCCTTTAAATGTTTACTCACTGTAGCTACAGAAATAATTGCTAGATATATAATGATAATAGATATTGGTAGAATAAATTCTATAATGGTGTTCAGTTGAAAAGAATTCATTTTTTAGAAAAGTGTTAGGGATAGGAAAAAGTAACCTGTCTCTGTATATATTTGGAATAAAAGTCAACACAAGTAGGGAATAGCTAGGAATTATGTTATGACTATAAATTAAATCTGATTTGGTAGATATTGTATGCATAAAATAAAACATTACATGTGTGGGGTATGTTAGACATAATCTATTACCTCAAAACGCGGTTTAAAAATTCCTTTATGAATTAATTGTGTTCTTCATTTATAGATGTGATGCAGATCCATCAGCCCTTGCTAAGTATGTTCTTGCCTTGGTGAAAAAAGATAAAAGTGAGAAAGAACTTAAAGCACTATGTGTGGATCAACTGGATGTATTTCTTCAGAAGGGTAAGTTCTTGTAAATTTAAAGCTTCAGGACCTAATTTCAAATTCTAATCTCATTTAGATTTAATCTATTTGATTTTAATTATAATTTGGAAATGATTTTACCAATGCCTCCATTCCCCATAAAAATATAAAACTATAGTATGACCTGTAACATAAACTTTGACTGACTGATGTTTGAATGCTGCTCTTGCAAATAAGTTCACCATAAGGTTTTCTTTTGGATTCTCCAAATAATATGTTTTGAAAAGTTATAGATAACTACCTAAAATAAAATAATCAGAGAACTTTCAGGCAATTAGTATGTGTTCCTTCCCTCCCTCCTTCCACCTCTGAGTATTCTAAAAGGTAGCTTTGGCTTGAAAACATTATTGCCTAAGTAGCTAAATTATCACAAGCATCTAGTGTCTCATTGCAGAACCAACATAAAATTATGTATATATGTTTCCAAAGCTGGAAATCCTAGAATTGGTTCTATGGAAATAGAATTGTCCAAATAATGATAAAGTACAAAAATGTTAATATTCCAATAATAATAGCCCTTAAGAATGGTTCTTAAGTTGCGAGTTATGTACTGTATACTGCTTGGGTTTCATTTCAGAGACACAGATATTTGTAGAAAAATTATTTGATGCCGTAAATAGCAAGAGCTATCTACCTCCCCCCGAGCTGCCGTCTTCAGGAAGCCTGAAATCAGACTTCTTTCAGCATCAAGAAAAAGAAGCAAAAAAAGAAGAGGTAATAATCAGCCATATCTTAAGTTTATGTCCTACAGGTAGTCCTCAACGTCTGACCCCAATTGAACCCAGAATTTCTGTTGCTAAGCAAGATAGACGTTAAGTGAGTTTTGCCCCATTTTATGACCTTTGTTGCCACAGTTGCTAAGCGAATCACTGCAGTTGTTAAGTTAGTAACACAGTTGTTAAGTGAACCTGGTTTGTCAGAAGGTTGCAAAAGGTTATCCCGGGACACTGCAACTCTCATAAATATATGCTAGTTGCCAGATGTCCAAATTTTGATCACATAACCAAGGGATGCTGCAACGGTGAGTGAAAAACGGCCATTAATTATTTTTTTCCAGTGCCATTGTAACTTCAAATGATCACTAAAGAATGGTTGTAAAAGGTCTATCTGTGTCTTGTAACCTGATCTACATATTTCATTGCTGTTCTTACTTTAGCACATATGAATGACAGTTTGTTAAAAGTATGATATTTCTGATGAATGTCTTCTAGACTTCGATCATAGTTAGTTCTGACAACATATATGGTAGTGATATAAAACTTAAAATATATCAGATTATGTAATACTATGAGAAACAGGTGGTAAGGGATTCTTAATAGAGCACAGTAGCACAAAATATCATACTTTATTTTTAAGTTACTATTATGATAATGGTATTTTCTTTAGGATAAATAAGATTGGATGTGCAAAGTTTGTGGGTAAATCTTGGAGAACTTTGTAAAGTTCACTCGTATTTATACTTATTTATACTTTATTTATTTGGCCAAGTGTGGTTAGACACACAAGGAATTTATCTCTGGTACTTTCATTTTAACTTTCTTTCATTTGGTTGTTAGAAAAACAATCTGTTTTATATTTTTTATCAAGGTAATTAAGGAAGAAGAACGAGAGAAAAAATTCTCTAGAAGGCTTAATCATAGTCCTCCTCAGTCAAGTTCACGATACCGAGACACCAGGTAACACCTATTTTTTTTCATTCTTGAAGTTGATAAATGTTTCTGATTTTTAGGACACTCGTACAAATGCTGAGACATTGGTTGTGTCACTATCACAAGGTTTACAGAGGTACAAATGAACAGGTGTCTGTGCAGAATGTATTTTAAACAACATTTAAAAATCAGAATGTTTTGAAGTTACTTTCTTAATAGACATACAAGCAAGTGCATTTCATGAAATATAACTTATTCACAATTGATTTTAGAAAACTGCCAATATCTGGATTTTCCTCTTTTGTTTTTGTATAGTTAACAAAATTGGCCAGTACTGTATATGTTAAGAGCCATTCAGGCACTAAATTTGCACTAAAATTGCAAAATAAGTAAAGAAAGTAACATTGTTCCTTTCATTATTTTGTCATAGACAATATATAGTGTTTTGTCTATCTGTCAAATTGATGAATTTTGCATTTCTACCAGTTTTGGTTAAATATTTCTGCTATTGTTGATATAAACAGCCTTTTTATATATGAATTTTCCATTTAGAATATAAAATATATTCTTATAAAGTTTTCTTGTCCACAATATTTAGAAGCAGGGATGAAAGGAAGAAAGACGAGCGTTCTCGCAAGAGAGATTATGATCGGAATCCTCCACGAAGAGAGTCCTATAGAGACCGCTACAATAGAAGAAGGGGAAGGAGCCGAAGCTACAGTAGGAGCCGTAGTCGAAGCTGGAGTAAAGAAAGGTTGCGGGACAGAGATAGAGATAGAAGTAGGAGTCGCACTAGAAGTAGAACAAGAAGCAGAGGTAACCAATAACCCTAAGTATTAATGTGCACAGAGTGTGCTTCATTTAAATAAATATAATTATAGAGGTAGCATGTAGGAAGGTTCATTCAGACATTCTTTGCCCTTTTTTGACAAATGGACCACGTTTTTGCTTTTTAGCTTTCCTTTACATCAGGGGTGTCAAACTCAATTTCATTGAGGGCCGCATCAGCATTACGGTTGCTCTCGGGGCCGGGTGGGTGTGGCCACGGTGGGTGCAACCTACTGGGTGGGCGTGGGTGGAGTGGGTGTGGCCTACTGGGTGGGCATGGCTAGCTCTACATCGTTCGTGTCAAGGGTGCCTGTTGGGGCCTGGGCAGGAGTGGGACAGATCTGAGGGTCTTTGGCAAAGGGGGTGGGACCGGGGCAAGCGCCAAGACATGGTCCATTTCTTCATTCTTCACAAAGGGTGACACTTCCCCAGCGGGGCCGACACGGGCTGGTTCCTCGCTGTTTCTAGACGGCCTTGTGGCCATCTATGCTGAATGTGTTTCAGGATAGATGGCCACCATAAAATTGTACATTGGCTCCCAGCCGGCCAGGGCCAAGGCAGCGGGGGCTGTTCCCTCACTGTTTCCAGGATGGCTTTGTGGGCCACATGAAACCACTTCTCAGGCTGCATCCGGCCCCCCGGGCCTTGTGTTTGACCATGTCTGCCTTACATGCTTTTTCTGTATCCTGCAAGTTAAAAATACAATGTAATTTTCTGAAAGCCCAACATGTATTTGACTGCCCTGTCTTCTGGCTCCATTGTCCAGAGCACTGTGATGAAATGTTGTCTGGATGCACTCTGTCCCGGGAATTCAGACAACATTTTGGATTGCCACAGTCACTCCTTCCCAGGAAAAGCAGATAACATTCCATCATAAGCATTCTGTTACCGTAATTAAAAACATCGGTCTATCTCAGGACAAAATGTGCAGTTTTCAAATTAATTCAAAGCTATGGATGCCCACGGAAAAGAATTTATACAGATTTTAGAATTTATTATATTATTGGAAAAGTTCACTGGCTTATTGTCTTTTTTTATTACATAAATTAGATTTTGAAGGGTTTCTTTTGTGAGAGTTGATTAGCCTGCATAGTGATTGATGTCTTGCTTATGTTATCCTGTCACTTTCCACAGTTCTCAAATATTCTTTTATAGAAAGAGATCTGGTGAAGCCAAAGTATGACATGGACAGAACAGAACCATTAGAGAATAATTACACACCGGTTTCTTCTGTAACAAACATTTCATCCGCTCACTATCCTGTCCCTACGCTAAGTAGCACTATAACTGTCATTGCTCCTGCTCATCATGGAAATAGTACTACTGAAAGTTGGTCAGAATTTCATGAAGAACAGTTGGACCACAATTCCTATGGAAGGCCTCCAATGCCAAAGAAACGGTGCAGAGACTATGATGGTAAGGCCAGAAAATTTGACCCAAATATTAAAGATAAGATAATAATGCATGTACAGGTTGTAGTTCTCGACTTACAACCAAAATTGAGCCCAACATTTGTTAAGTGAGTTTTGTCCCATTTTACGACCTTTCTTGCCACAGTTGTTAAGTGAATTACTGCAGTTGTTAAGTTAGTAACACCATTGTTAAGTGAATCTGACTTGCCCATGGACTTTGCTTGTCAGAAGATTTAAAAAGTTGATCGTCACAGCAACCGTCATAAATATGAGTCAATTGCCAAGCATCTGAATTTTGATCACGTGACCACAGGGAGGCTGCAACTGTCGTAAGTGTGAGAAACGGTCATAGGTCACTTTTTTCAGTGCCGTTGTAGCTTCGAACGATCAGTAGACTGTTGTAAGTTGAGGACTACCTGTATTACTTTTATATTTATACTTCTTTTTTTGTACTTGAACCCCATAGAAATTAATGATCAAAGATCTTAAATATTCCCATTAGATGATTTTGTCTTTAGTATTTTATATACTATTGTGTAACGGTATCAAAGAATTTATTTATTTATTTATTTATTTTTAAAATTTATAAACCGCCCCACTCCCGCAGGACTTCGGGCGGCTAACAATAAAAACACCATATAACATGACAAAACAAACAATACAATAACAGTCATCCAGGGGTCAGATTTTGTAAACCCCAGGCCCGCCGGAAAAGCCAGGTCTTAAGCAGCTTGCGGAAAACCAACAGGGTGGGAACGGTCCTAATCTCCGGGGGGAGCTGGTTCCAGGATGTGGGCGCCATCACAGAGAAAGCCCTCCCCCGCGGCCCCGCCAAATGGCACTGCTTGGCCGACGGGACCTGAAGGAGGCCCAGCCTGTGGGATCTAACCGGACGAAGGGAACTATGAGGTAGTAGGCGGTCTTGCAAATAGCCTGGCCCTGAGCCATATAGAGCTTTAAAGGTAATAACCAACACCTTAAATTGGACCTGGAGACCAATAGGCAACCAGTGCAGCTCACGGAGGATAGGTGTAACGTGGGTGTACCGAGGAGCACCCACTATCACTCGCGTGGCTGCATTCTGGACCAACTGTAGTCTCCGAATACTTTTCAAGGGTAGCCCCATGTAGAGCGCGTTGCAGTAGTCCAGATGTGAGGTGACGAGGGCATGAGTGACTGTAAGGAGAATCTCCCGGTCCAGGTAGGGTCGCAACTTGTGCAACAGACGAACTTGTGCAAAGGTCCTCCTAGCCACAGCCATCAAATGATGTTCCAAATTCCGCTGTGGATCAAGGAGGACACCCAAGTTGCGAACCAGCTCCGAAGGGGATATATTTTCCCCTGCTAGAGTCAACCCTGGACAGTTAACATGATCCTTGGGAGGCAACATCCAAAGCCACTCGGTCTTGTCAGGATTGAGCCTGAGTCTGTTAACCCCCATCCAGACCCTCACGGCTTCAAGGGAATAAAAGTTCATTTCATTGTAATGTATTCAGCTCTTGCATAGCTACACTCTTAATGCTTATTTAGAATGCTACACAGTTTCAGAATGCTGCACGCTTTCCTAATTTTATCTTGCATTGGCTTTTCAGAGAAAGGCTTTTGTATGAGAGGAGATATGTGTCCCTTTGATCATGGAAGTGACCCTGTAGTTGTAGAAGATGTGAACCTTCCAGGCATACTGCCTTTTCCAGCGCAGCCTCCAGTTGTTGAAGGACCACCTCCTCCAGGACTTCCACCTCCACCACCTATTCTTACTCCTCCTCCTGTAAATCTTAGACCGCCTGTCCCACCTCCAGGCCCTTTACCACCTAGTCTTCCACCTGTTACAGGTAGGTTCTCTTAATTGTAACTCGATGACTGACTGCAAACATCAGACACTATGTGTCCAGATAGAGTTTACCAGTCAAGGTTGAGTTTTGGTTGAAATGATTCCTAGCCAGTTCCAAAATATGTGCAATAAGATCTGCTTTCTCTAAAATATGGTAGTGGAGAAGCATGGATCTCACTTGGGTTAATGGAGACTTGCCAAAGCTAGCGTAGCACTTCTGAAATTTACCCATCGGATTTCTGGATGCCCAGCTTTCCTAATGCCATGGTTAGAAAGGAAATATAATAGTTATTTTTTTTCCCCTGAGACCAGATGTGTTTGCACATGGATGGGTGAGAGGGTCTATATCTTACATTGTGCCTTAAGGAGAGGATGAGTCGGATCAGTTCATTTTCTGATTTATGTGTGTTTCATTGGTGCTGGACTGCTATAGAGGCAAGGGACTAATTAACATTAATCCCAGGTACCAGCCTTTAAACCAGTGCTTCTCAACGTTTGTGTGACGGCGACCCCCGTCACACAAACGTTCTGCGCATGCGCGGTGCCGCGCGCATGATGCGTGATGCGCATGCGCGGCGTCGCCCCCATGCACGACGTGCGTGCGCGGTGCCCCCATGCGCGACGTGCGTGCGCGGTGCCCCCATGCGTGACACGCGTGCGCGGCGGCTCCCCATACGCGGCGCACGTGTGCGGCGGCGCCCCCATGCGTGACACGCGTGCGTGGCGCTGCCCCCATGCGCGGCGCGCGTGCACGGCACCGCGAAAAATGGCGGATCGCCACCTTTGGCGACCCCCGAAAAATGGTCGATCGACCCCAAATGGGGTCGCGACCCATAGGTTGAGAACCGCTGCTTTAAACTTTACTTTTCAGGGAAGTTGTAGGTCTTCATTTTTAGAGAATCCTATAGGGTTCAGGCCAGGTCATGAGACTGAAATAATATTGTTCCGCTGAATCACTTTCATCAGGACCTGAATTGAAGGTAGCCTGTTTCTCCAGTCCTCTTAATATTGCAGGTCAACCTGGTTCAGGAAACCTTAACAACAGCGAACCATCCCCATGTCACCTTGTGGTTAGATTTCTACAATGGATTTTTTCGTGGATCGTGTTTGAAGACAATTTGGAAATACTTAGTTGGTCAAGAACAGCTAAATTCAGCCCTGTAACACCTGTGGTGGGGCATCCATAGAACATTTTAAGTTGACGCTTTGCCTCCTGAGTAATAGAATGCCTTGAGTGTCCCAGGCTTTTGGAAATTTCTCTACCGTTCCCTGTTTATTATCCTTTTGGAACCTAATGATGTTTCAGCTACTTCACGGAAGATTATTTAGTATAATTGCTCCTAGTTTTATGAATGTATTTTTCTTTTTTTAAATTGCCTTATTTGCACAGAATTTGGCAGTCTATAAAAGGTGTGAAATAAATAGATAAATAAATACTCCTACTCTACATTATATAACCATTTTCTCCAAATCACGCACATTTTCATTATGATGATATATAGAAGGAGATGTCTTTTTAGATATGCAAGATCCAGATGAAGCTTTAAAGAATTAAAATTTGACTGATTGCAAAGCACACTTCAGTGATGTTTCCTTTAGTTACAGTTCTAACACTTGTATTATGAAATAGTTGTACAGCTGGCAACAAGTTGGAATTTGCAATGAGAATAATTTGTAGTCAGAACTGCTGCAACTATTTTTTTTCTTTTCCACATTTTACATTAAAAAATAATTGTTTTATGGTGCACTAACATGATACAACAGATTATTTCCTCTAGTGATTGCAGACAAGTTTTCTTGATAAATGATTTATATCTCTCCTGAAACTATTGCCATCCCAAAGAAACAAAACATGTTAGCCATTACTTACTTCATACTGCTACCTATATACTGTTAAAACTTCCATTTCTGATTGTTTGTAACCTTTAATTTGGCAATAATCAACATCATAGGGCAACAATCAAGATACTTCAAATGGGCTAACTTACAAAATGCATCCAAAACCTAGGACCTACGATATTTGTGGAATTGAAATTCATCAGACCTCTGGTTGCTTCAGTGCTGTCATGTTTGGCCAGTTGTGTTTGGATAGTGGTTATTAACAATGCTCCCTGCCAGCTTCCCGCAAGGCAAGCCAGTGGGAAGGTTGACAGGGAATTCAGAAATTGTTCCCATTCCCACTGTTGTTGAGTCCATTCCTGGTTCATTTGGTTTCTTTGTGTAGGTAAGGAAATAGCCTTGAAATGAAGACCCAGCATGGGTTATTTTAGCCTATTTCTGAAGATGCAGAAGATTTTCAAAGACAAGATGTACAGATCTTTTATTCTGTGAGATATGTGGTTGCTTTTTTTCCCCCATTTTTATAACTCCATTGTTTTTTTTCTTTTTGGTAGGACCACCACCTCCACTACCACCTTTGCAGCCCTCTGGAATGGATGCCCCCCCAAATTCTGCTACCAGCTCTGTTCCTACAGTTGTAACAACGGGTATTCATCACCAACCACCACCTGTCCCACCCCCTCTCTTCCCAGGTGTAGTACTGGATGTATATTTTTTTTACCAATAAAAGGAGAAAAGTTATTTCTACACATGATGTGTAGTGGAGTATTAGAATATTGGGAAAAAACAAAGTCATGTGAGGAGTATTCCGCCCTCATTGGATGGGACTTCCTCAGTGGTCCCTCTCTTCCACAATGTTTTCCCTGTTATTTGATCCCAATTTATGGAGGGAGGTAAAACGTTTGGGACTGATTGTTGTACCTTCATTGAATGCCATCAGATAGTTTACTTAAAAAAAAAAAAGGCATTTGTGAGTGGCAAAAAGGATAATTCTAGCTAGCCAAAATAGTGCGCACTTTATGTTTTTAATAAGGCTGTGTGTGGGATGTAGTTTTATAGTCAAACACAAAATCAAAAGAATTCCAGACTTATTGGAGCATTAAATGTATTTTTCCCTCAAAAGGTCAGAAGCTTTTGAAATTAAGAAAGCTCCCAAATGAGTTTATTATATATATTACAAAATTTAAACAACAAATGTTTTCAAAAATTTGGGGGGTTTAAAAAACGTTATTTTGAATTCTAATTCTGATTTGATTCAGTATGAATTATATTAAACTTATATCTATGATTGAGGTTTGAAAAGTTGATTTGCGCACAGCTTTTACCATACTTCTGTTTAGTAGGATCATAATTCACTCTTTCAAAATTAATTCAGTTTAATTCAGAATTATTCAGCTTAGAAATCCAGCTACTTTTGCCTATGTGAGAAATAACGTTTCCCCCTCTAACTCACATTGTTGATATGAATCATTTAAAGGTTGATTTGCATTCCTGTAGTATATGGTTTAAATTTCTCTATACTTGTATAATTAGATAATATATATATTTTTGCCAGAAACATACGACACAGATGGTTACAATCCTGAAGCACCAAGTATAACCAGCACTTCAAGACCCATGTATAGACACAGAGTCCATGCCCAAAGACCAAATTTGATAGGACTTACCTCAGGTGATATGGACCTGCCACCAAGAGGTAATTTGAAAAATGTCTTGCTTTAAAATGTAAATGGGTAGTATCATATGATTTATTCTATTCAAGGCTTGTACCTCCTACCAAATGCATTGGGAATCATGGTAGGAACGGAAGTTTGCAGTGGACATTTTCTAGTGCTGCCATCCTCCTCCTTATAATTATATTTTTCCCAGTCAAGCATATGTTTGCAAGGCGTAAAGAGTTAATAAAAAAATAATAATCCATTTATCCTCTACTCTATTGGAAGCGTGTACCTTTTTAATCAGTTGGTGTTGGAAGCTCCCAATCAATTGAACAGTGGGGGGAAATGATACAACGCACCACCGATTTGTAATTAGCTGTAAGAGTGGGTAAAAAGTAATGTGTTTGCCTTAGGTTTAATTCAGGTCTTATTATTTAATATTTTTTCCCCATTTCTCGTCACTTTATCATAAAACATTTGAAATAATAGATATTTTTTGCCTTGTTTAAAACAAATTCAGACTAACAGGCACAGTGGTTTCATGAATACCCACCTGCTAGGCATTTTTTCTCTGTGTTACATAATAATGATGATGATGATGATGATGATGATGATGTTGGAAGGGACCTTGAAGGTCATCTAGTCCAACCCCCTGCTCAGGCAGGAAACCCTATACCATTTCAGACAAATGGCTGTCCAGTCTCTTCTTAAAAACTTTCAGTGTTGGAGCATTCACCACTTCTGGAGGCAGGTTGTTCCACTGGTTAATTGTTCTAGCTGTCAGGAAGTTTCTTCTTAGTTCTAGGTTGCTTCTCTCCTTGATTAGTTTCCATCTGTTGCTTCTTGTCCTGCCTTCAGGCGCCTTGGAAAATAGCTTGACTCCTTCTTCTTTGTGGCAGCCCCTGAGATATTGGAATACTGCAATCATGTCCCCCCTTGTCCTTCTCTTCGTTAAACTAGACATACCCAATTCCAGCAGCCTTTCCTTATATGCTTTAGCCTCCAGTTCCCTAATCATCTTTGTTGCTCTTCTCTGTAAATTATTACAACTTAACTGTGCTACTCCCAAGAGTTTTCAGGCTGTCTAGAAAACGATTAAAATAGCTACAATAAATCCAATTAAAAACACCTATTGTCCAATAGAAGAGAAAAGCAAACATAATGGATCAGAAACATATGCCAACATGTTAAATCATGTGTGTGCATTGATGACCACTTAAGTTAGAAATACTTGATGAAGGAACCTAGTTTTTAACACTTTCCTAAATCTAATTTCCACTGGATGGCTATTCCCAAAAGCTAATGCTGCTACTGATAAGTTAGAATTTTTTAGCTGCAGTTCTTCCCAGAAGTGGGAAGCTATTTGTCTTTTCTTGCTTGATGATCAGGAATACATGGGGATTAGGATAAGTGTGAAAAAGAGATTAGCAGAAACTTGTTTCAATTTCTTTGGTGAGTCTAAATCAAGATTCAAAGGGGGGGGGGAAGGAAAGGAAATGCCCATGCATTTCAAATAATTCAGACAGAATGTTATGCCCTGGGAGACTCTCCTGATCTTATATTAACTCTTCGCTACTTCTTTATGAGATGCCCTTTTCCCAAAGAAATTCCTCTTTTGGGCTTCAGGTCGCAAGTCATTTGCTAAACATCTACAGTTGAAAAGAAATTATATTTTCTAAGCAGTGTAGTCTGCAGTTGTCCTTTGGGGTTACTTGCATTTCCTTTTGAAGCATGAGGTTTTAGTATATCTTGGACCAACACCGAATCAAAGGAACCTGGATCTAAAGAAGTCCTGCATTTTAATATACTGCGAAAATGTAGTAAGTCGGTTGATGGTAATTGGGAGAGAAAACTCAACTATAAAATGCACAAACACCCTTTAAAAATTAATCTGTGTACTCTTTTCTTCCTCCAGAAAAACCTCCCAATAAAAACAGTATGAGGATTGTAGTGGATTCAGAATCCCGGAAGAGAACTATTGGTGCAGGTGATGGACTTGCAGCAAAGAAGAATTGGTTTGACAAGTAAGCAGTTGTTAGCTCTGTTGATCTTTCCTCTTAATCTCTTTCCCACATAGTTTGATTTAAAAATGGAATTTAGATATTGTCTATGCCTGATTTAAAGTTTGACGGTCAAAAAAAGGTGAAAATAGCTGCAGCAACAACGTAATCAAAATCTACCCTTTTGTATGTGTTTCTAATATGTGTTCGTGTAAAACAGCCAGGCTTTGCAACCATTATCTTGGCCTTTTTTTTGATGGATACTGTGGACACTGTAGATTCAGATCAAATAAGCGACACTTTGAATTATTTTTATATGGGCCCTGTAAGAACACTTGTCTGTATACCTGTATTAAAAGATAATCACATTACCATGTAAGCATCACTTGAGTAATATAGGCATTTCCGTTGCATGAAAGCATGTAAAAATACTGCTTTCCAAATTAGGAACAGTTTTAACAATAACAGACTTGGAAGGAACCTTGGAGGTATTCTAGTCCAACCCCCTCCTCAAGTAGGAAACCCTACACCATTTCAGACAAATGGTTGTCCAATCTCTTCTTGAAAACCTCCAGTGTTGGGAGCACCCACAAGTTTTATAGGGCAACCGCAATGCTGATACGGCCCTCAATGAAATTGAGTTTGACACCCCTGTAGAGGAAGCTAAATAATGACTGAACAGTTCATTGAGGGCTGTATCAGCATTGCGGTTGCCCTCGGGGCCGGGTGGGTGCAGCCTACTGGTGGGCGTGGATGGAATGGATGTGGCCTACTAGGTGGGTGGGGCCAGCTCTACACCGTTCGTGTCAAGGGTGCCTGTGGGGGCCTGGGCAGGAGTGGATAAATCTGAGGGTCCCTGACAGAAGAGGGTGGGACCAGGGCAAGTGCCGAGGCATGGTCTACTGGAGGAGCCTCACTGTTCCTCTCAGGCCATGTGGTGGAGGGGGGCTTATGGAGCTAAGACTGAATGTGTTTCAGCATAGATGGCCACCACAAAATTGTACATTGGCTCCCGGCTGGCCTGGGCCAGGGCCAAGACAGAGGGGGCTGTTCCCTCACTGTTTCCAGGATGACTTCTGTTCTAGTTGCTTCTATCCTTGATTAGTTTCTATCCAGTTTTAATATACATGTCAACAACTTCCTCATTGCATGTGGAATTAATATTAGTTATTCAATTTGCAATATACATTAATATATTACAAGGTTAAATCTTTAACAAGATTTTTAAAGAAGCACTGTACAGGTTTCTGTAGAGGAAAATATGGGAATCTAGAGGAATGTTACTCATTTACGATCATGAATATATGATATATAGGCATATATTATAGAGGTTGGCATGTAATGATGAATTGATCTTTGGTTTTCCCTACTTGGGTAGCTGCCAATACTGGTAATATTGAAGATTTTCTTGTTCCACAACAGTGTTAAAAATAGATGCTTCCTGAAATTTAGTTTTAGATTATCATTTAATTCAGGATTTTAACTATTCCCTTGTGAATTGATTTCTATTAGTAACTTGAAGCGTTTGATTCTTTTTTTTTTTCCCCAGACAAAATTTTAATAGAACAAACAGTCCGGCTTTCCAGAAGAAGATGCAATTTGGGAATGAAAACACAAAACTTGAACTGAGGAGAGTTCCTCCAGAACTTAATAATATTAGCAAACTAAATGAACACTTCAGCAAATTTGGAAATTTAGTGAATTTGCAGGTAGGCAATATTGTAAACCTTTTACTGTATAATTAAAATAATATATTAGAAATTATCTGCCAGTCGGAACAGGGATCATGACGATGCCCTGAAAATTTAGCATGGATGTATCATCTGTTTAAACAGAGAGCTTTAATCACAAGTTAAATATTGGCATGGAGTTACCCTAAGGCAGGTGTAGGCAACCTTGGCTCTTTTATGACTCGTGGACTTCAACTCCCAGAATTCCTGAGCCAGCCATGCTGAGGGGAAAGGGAGAGGTTTCCAAGCTGAGCCATGCTGGCTCAGGAACTCTGGGAGTTGAACTCCATGAGTCATAAAAGAGCCAAGGTTGCCTATCCCTGCTTTAAGGCAAGAATAAGCAACATTGTTCCTTCCAGGTATTTTGGCCTATGTATTCCACATTTCTTTGCAATTGTCGCTACAATTGCATGGGATTAATGGGAATTTGAATTCCAAACATTTGAAAGGCATTAAATTGCCTATCTCTATGTTTGTAAAGTGGCACAGATACTATTTCTCAAATAATAATAATAATAGCAGCAGCAGCAACAATGGTGCATTGGAAGATCTGCAAAAAATATCATTTGCCTGTAAGCAAAAACTGGTGGGATCATAAAATAGAGAAAGTCATAGAAAATGATAAAATTAAACTGCTCTGGGACTTCAGAATTCAAACAGACAAGCACCTGCAACATAACACCCCAGACTTAACAATTGTCGATAAGAAAGACAAAAAAGTCTGGATAGTGGACGTGGCAGTGCCTGGAAACAGCAGAATAGATGAGAAAGAACTGGAGAAGATAACAAAATACAAAGACCTACAAATAGAAATAGAAAGACTGTGGCAAAAGCAAGCAAGGGTAGTACCAATAGTCATAGGCTCCTTGGGTGCAATCCCAAAACAACTGGAGCACCACTTGAATACAATTGGCATTGACAAATTCGCTATTAGTCAATTGCAAAAGGCGGCTTTATTAGGAACTGCTTCCATCCTGCGACGATATCTGTAATACCATCAAACATCCACATCTGCCTATCCCAGGTCCTGGGTAAGGATTCGATAGGTAGACAAAATGCCAAATCCAGTCTGAACATCTGGCTGACTGTGCAATGATCCATAATAATAATAGCCACCAATCAATTTGAATGTTCAATTGACTGAGGTTCACGTCTAATGAAAATAATAATAATAATAATAATAATAATAATAATAATAATAATAATAATAATAATAATAAGCACAATGGAAGACACAGTTGCAGATCAATGGTGAGAGGCTGGGAGAGGTTAATATCAAGAGAGGAATATTTCAAGGAGATTCATTATCACCATTACTATTTGTTATTGCACTGTTTCCTCTGTCAACAATACTGAATAACTCAGGACATGGCTATCAAACATCAAAAACATTTGCCAGACTATTCCACCTCCTTTATATGGATGATCTGAAGCTGTATGGAAAAACATCATCTGAAATAGAATCGCTGCTCAACACTGTCCGTATATATAGCCAAGATATTGTAATGGAGTTTGGCTTGGACAAATGTGCCACACTTACTATCAAACAAGGAAAAATAGTGAAAACTGAAGGAATCAAGATGCCCCACGAAAATAACATTAAGAGTCTGGATGAGGAAGAGTACTACAAATACTTGGGTATCCTTCAAGCTGACAACATCAAGCACACTGAAGTCAAGAAAAAGATTAGAGGTGAATACATCAAGAGAGTGAAGAAGATCTTAAAATCCAAACTCAATGGAGGAAATACCATAAAGGCAATCAACACCTGGGCAATCCCAGTCATTAGGTACACAGCTGGAATAGTGGACTGGACTCAAGCAGAACTAAAAGCAATGGATAGGCAGACCAGAAAAATAATGACAATGAATCATGCCCTTCATCCACGCAGTGACATTGATAGACTTTATCTACCAAGGCAAATAGGTGGGCGTGGAATGCTACAAGTACATCAGATGGTTGAAGAATTAAAAATGGCTTTGGAAGAATATCTGAAGAACAATGATGAAGATGCACTGAAATTAGTATATCAGGAAGGCTTACTAACTACTGGAGAGACCAAACTGGCCTACAAGAAAGACCAAATGAAGAACAGAATAGAGGCATGGGAAGACAAAGCACTACATGGCCAATACATTAAAAAATAGCTGGGAAAGCAGATAATAACAAGACCTGGCAATGGCTAAGAGCAGGAAAATTGAAGAAAGAGACCGAGGGACTAATTCTGGCTGCACAAGACCAAGCCTTAAGGACAAATGCATATAAAGTCAAAATTGAGAAGACAGCAACAGACAGTAAGTGCCGCCTATGCAAAGAAGCTGAAGAAACAGTGGACCACCTGGTAAGCTGCTGCAAGAAGATTGCACAGACTGACTACAAGCAGCAGCATGACAAAGTAGCAACAATGGTGCATTGGAAGATCTGCAAAAAATATCATTTGCCTGTAAGCAAAAACTGGTGGGATCATAAAATAGAGAAAGTCATAGAAAATGATAAAATTAAACTGCTCTGGGACTTCAGAATTCAAACAGACAAGCACCTGCAACATAACACCCCAGACTTAACAATTGTCGATAAGAAAGACAAAAAAGTCTGGATAGTGGACGTGGCAGTGCCTGGAGACAGCAGAATAGACGAGAAAGAACTGGAGAAGATAACAAAATACAAAGACCTACAAATAGAAATAGAAAGACTGTGGCAAAAGCAAGCAAGGGTAGTACCAATAGTCATAGGCTCCTTGGGTGCAATCCCAAAACAACTGGAGCACCACTTGAACACCATTGGCATTGACAAATTCGCTATTAGTCAATTGCAAAAGGCGGCCTTATTAGGAACTGCTTCCATCCTGCGACGATATCTGTAATACCATCAAACATCCACATCTGCCTATCCCAGGTCCTGGGTAAGGATTCGATAGGTAGACAAAATGCCAAATGTAGTCTGAACATCTGGCTGACTGTGCGATGATCGATAATAATAATAATAATAATAAATGATGATGATGATAGAGTTGGAAGGGACCTTGGAGGTCAGGCGTAGGCAACCTTGGCTCTTTTATGACTCTTGGATTTCAACTCCCAGAATTCCTGAGCCAGCATGGCTAAGCATGGAAACCTCTCCCTTTCCCCTCAGCATGGCTGGCTCGGAATTCTGGGAATTGAAGTCCACGAGTCATAAAAGAGCCAAGGTTGCCTACCCCTGGTGTAGGTTATCATTTTCCACAGATATGATTATAGTTCTATGTCAATCCTTTGAGATAGGCCTGGTCAGGAAATAGGCAATGCAACAACTGCTGGAACTCTCCTTTATTGCTATAGGAATTAATAACAGAATTCCTTTTGCCACACCTTATTCCAAACAGAATCAAGGTGGGATAATCCTGAGTCTCTTTCTAATTTTCAGGACTGGGTTGTTGTTTATTTTTTTTCTGAATGACGTTCCTAAAGAGTCTTATGCTGCTTTGAGAAGACTCTGCATTCCTCTACATTTGTGTTTGCCTTTCCTTGAAAATCATAGGTTGCCTACCAAGGAGATCCAGAAGGTGCCCTCATCCAGTTTGCTACCCACGAGGAGGCTAAAAAAGCCATATCGAGTACAGAAGCAGTCTTAAATAACCGATTTATCAAAGTCTATTGGCATAGAGAAGGCAGTACTCCCCCAATTACAACTTCAGTGCAGAAGGTAAAGAATAAAATTTGGTTAATTTGGAGGCTCTTTTAAGCTAAATATCTACTTTAGCGGGGGTTTAAGGAAGAAGTTTGAATCTTGAATTTTCCAAATCAGTACTAAGAAATCAAGATCTTTTTATTTTAATTATTTTGCTTATATCAATATAGATCAGTTAAACCTTTCATTTGACGTATTTGGTTTTTTTGCTGAACGGAAATGAGTGAGTCAGAGCTGATAGTACTTGATTCTTCTCTTTGTAAGATGTTCTTTATCTTCCTAGTTTCATTTTAAAAAATAATACTGTGCACATTCCAAAAGTAATTCAGAGTTCTTCCAGTCTTATACCGAAAACATCTTTGCTATTAAAGTATTCCCCACCCCTGCAGGCTTATATATGAGCCTGAAAAAGATGATGGGATTGCTTTATTTAATGAATGTTAGAAAGATGTTTCATGAAGTTCAACTACCTCGGTAGAATACATTTTTAAGCATGCGTGGCTCTAAAAATAGTACTTTTAAGCTCTGAGTATGTTTTTTATGGTAATCTGCAACACTTATCACCTGACCCCTCTCTGAAGTGTTACGTAGAATTATATAATTACTTATTGGAAAGATAATCTGAGGATATTAATAAATTCATACAAAAATTGTTAGCATAAATAGGAAAGCTTAAAGAACACTTATTCTTAAACTGTTCAAGTAGCTTGTTTTTAGATGTAAATAATCTGGTAGTTTCGGGACTATGGCCTTATCAATCTTACTGAAACTATCATTATGCCAAAATAGTATTCAGATTAGAAAGCATCATGAAAAAAAGGAATAATGGTAAAATGTCTAGAAGGCAGGCATACTCTGAACTGAAATATTTATGAACTATTACGAAGATTGTATTTCTTTTTAAGGTAATACAGCCTTTAACCCAGCAGCCCGTTTTGCCAGCTGTGAAGCAGTCAGTCAAGGAACGATTAGGTCCAGTTCCTACCAGTAACATTGAACCTGCTGAAGCCCAGGGTGCCAGCACAGAAGCCGTTCAGGTGACTGCGACTCAGGTCATTTTTCTGAACTTTCTTAGTCTCTAAAGCCAAACCATGGTTTCTTTTTTGTCAGAGGCAGACATTCAATATAAATGATCAATGGAACCTTTTGAAATGGTTTTCACCTTTAATTTGCATGTTTAGTAAAATGCCACCTTTGAATTTATAAGGCCACATTACAGATTCACTACAGTTCTTTCTAATTAATAGCCAAGAATGTTTAAAAGTAAATTAATTCTTCTGCCTCTGAAGAAGGTTGTAATAGGTAATAGGTTGTAATAGGTAACATTTTTTAAAAAATTATCTATTAAAAGGTATTATTACATTGTTTCCCATTACAAAAAAAAACAGTGTAATGGCTTACAAACTCAATGAGACCCTAATTAAAACCACTTCATTAGTATGTTACATGAATTTGTGGCAGGGGAAGGCCAATCCAGAAAGTTGGAAATGTAAAAGACACTTAAAAACATTTCAGTTTGGGATATGCCATATCATAAAAGAGAGCAGTCTATAAACCTTAGCACCTTAGCCGAAACAAGATCTTTTGGTATATCATATTTATTGACGTTAAAAGGCATAAAATATTGCATTCAGTATTGCCAAAGCTCTTGTGAGATGATAGACTTCCAAAACTTTGCTTTGAGCAGCAGTCTTGAGACTTAATGAACCACTGCTTTTTGCTCATCTCCTCTTTTCTACATGGAAAAGGTATGTCCAAATAGGCCTTGTCCCATTATTTATTACGTAGTATGCTCACTAGTTTTTAAATCGGCTTGCAGCCGATTTTTTTTTTCCCAAGTTGGTATTTGGTCCAACAGACATTTTGAAATTATGCCCCCAAATCCTGTAGTCAAAGGGAATAAGGTGCAGGTAGTCCTCGACTTTACGACCACAATTGGGCTCAAAATTTCTGTCGCTAAGCAAGACAGTTGTTAAGTGAATGTTGCCCAATTTTCTTGCCACCGTGGTTAAGTGAATCACTGCAATTGTTAAGTTGTTAAGTGGATCTAGTTTCCTCATTGACTGTGTAAGAAGGATGCAGAAGGTGATCACATGACCTTCGGGACACTACAACCGTCATAAACATGAGTCAGTTGCCAAGCCTCTGAATTTTGACCACGTGACCACAAGGATGCTGAAACGGTCGTAAGTGTGAAAAACAGTCATAAGTCACCTTTTTCAGTGCCGTTGTAACTTCATATGGTCACTAAATGAACTTCTGTAAGTCGAGGACTACCTGTATTTTGCAAAACTCTTCTACGGTCTTCTATTTATCTTGTAGAATTGGTTGGGGTTTAGATAGCTACCTTAGAAGTGAGACAAAATTTATATAAAAACACAGATTGCAAACGTTAAATAGATCCTTTTTCTCTTCACCTAGAATGTAACCAAACTATCTGTAAAGGATAGACTTGGGTTTGTGCCTAAACCACCAACTCCAACTACAGAAAAGGTAAGAAAACCATAATGCTCAGCAAACTGTTATCTAATTAACCTGAGTCACCTTCAAAGCGGATGCTCACACATTACAACTGCAAAATAGTTGTCAGTTTTTTAAAAAACCATAACAGCTCTTGAAATGAAGGCAGTTGAAATGCTACTAACTATGCTTGTTTTCACATAGGCATCGTCAGTGAAACCTAAATTGTTGCTGTTTAGGCATGGATTTGCATGGTTAACAGTACTAGATTTGGTGCAGCATTTGTTAGTGCAGAGCAAAGAAAATTGCTTGACATTAGTGTGGTAATGTTAGTGGCAGGCAATTGCTGTAGTGTATTGTCACATTCCTAAAGCTTTTGGCAAGAGCAGCTCATTGGATTAACATTTTAATAAGCCTCTGTCAGCACTGCTGGTAGGAAGACATTATGGGAGTTCTAGCCCAAAGCACCCGGATGATGTCTGCTAGGCTATGCTATATTTTGCTTTAATGGTTCCGGCTCTTTGCTTGGCATCTGGGGTTATGTCACTTTCAGTATTGAGATGATACTCCTACTCGGTACAGTTTTATTTTACCCAGTGGGATTTGCATATTGGATAATAGGGGAGATAATGATGATGATGATGATGATAATAAGTTGGAAGATGTCCAACCCCCTGCTCAGGCAGGAACCCTACACGATTTTGGACAAATGGATGTCCAGTCTCTTCTTAAAAACTTCCAGTGTTGGAGCATTCACCGTTTCTGGAGGCAGGTTGTTCCATTGGTTAATTGTTCTAACTGTCAGGAAGTTTCTCCTTAGTTCTAAGTTGCTTCTCTCCTTGATCAGTTTCCATCCGTTGCTTCTTGTCCTGCCTTCAGGTGCCTTGGAGAATAGCTTGATTCCCTCTTCTTTGTGGCAGCCCCTGGGATATTGGAACACGGCTATCATGTCCCCCCTCATCCTTCTCTTCATTAAACTAGACATACCCAATTCCAGCAACCGTTCCTTATATGTTTTAGCCTCCAGTCCCCTAATCATCTTTGTTGCTCTTCTCTGTACTCTTTCTAGAGTCTCAACATCTTTTTTACATCATGGTGACCAAACTGGATGCAGTATTCCAAGTGTGGCCTTACCAAGGCATTGTAAAGTGGTATTAATACTTCACGTGATCTTGATTCTATCCCTCTGTTAATGCAGCCCAGCACTGTGTTGGCTTTTTTGGCAGCTGCAGCACACTGCTGGCTCATATTTAAGTGATTGTCCACTAGGACACCGAGATCCCTCTCACAGTTACTACTATTGTGAGATCCCTCTCACAGTTACTACTATTGTAGATACTGAACAGTGTGGGTGTATAGTTAGTTATAAATGACAAATTAAAAACTTGCTGCCTTTTATTCGTAAGTTTAGATTGTTTTTTTCTTGATGAGTCCAATATGCAAATAGTGATCCAGGATAATTTAAGTTGGATAAAATGTCAAAAGGCTTTTGGGAAAAAAGAAGCAGGTAAGAGAGAATTAGCATAGGACAAATAAACCAAAGCCTAATCAAAGCAGGCGTTTAGGATCTTGAAAGTCTTACAGATTATTTTGAAAACTTCTTTTAACTCCCTTAACAAGCCACAATTCATAATTTCAATATAGCTTTTAATGTACAAAATTCATTAGCTCTTTCTTATTTGTGTATTATAATGCGGAAGGAGCTGTAAGGAAAATTGGTGAGATGTGTATCTATGTACATTTGATAAATAAATAAGACAACCCCTTTTTTCTAAATTTCCATTTTTTTTATGTTGAGGATAGCAGATGTTCTGAATCTATGAAGATCATATCTATCTTGACTCCATAGCACTCTGTAACTGCTGATTTTACAGTTTTAAAATTATCCTAAAGACAGTTAAACTGCCTTTAATTCCCAGTCTTACAATTTTTGAATTCAAAATAGTAATTATAGTAAACACCCTTTGACTTCTCAATGTATATTGAGACCATGGCAATAGAATAGAATAGAATATAGAATGCAGAATTGAATTGAATTGAATTCTTTATTGGCCAAATGTGGGTGGACATACAAGGAATTTGTCTCTGGTGTATAAGCTTTGCGTACACACAAGCAATAGTGATAAATCATCAATCATATCAATCAATTTTAAGAAGGCAGTTCTAGTCTGTATTAAGATGGAAGACCATTAAGAAACTCCTGGACTGTAGAGTGATCCCAAATATCCTAGAAGGTAGTAGCAATCTCTTTTGTCTTATTGCAAAAAAAAAAAAAAAAAAAAAAACCACTTAAATGAGTCTATGTAACATGAGTTTTATTTGAGAATTTTTACTTCATTAGATGCTAAAGTAATATTTTTCCACTACAGGTGTTGTCTACTTCTACCGGCTTGACAAAAACAGTGTATAATCCAGCTGCTTTGAAGGCAGCTCAGAAAACTTTGCCTGTTGTTAATACTGCTCCGATAGATTCCAGTGAAGCACAGAAGAAAAAACAGGTATATTTAATGTGATTGTGGGTAAAGGACATTTTTCTTATTGGAGCATAATCTTTAACTATGATTAGGAGATTGGGAGCACTTGAATATTTTCTTCCTGTGACTTTCCTTTTATATAAATATATGCTTATTTGAAATATATTTATGTGAAACTTTATATATATATATGTGTGTATTTGTGTGGTCTTCTAATGGCAGCATGCAATCATGGCTACAAATAATTTACAAACTGGTTTCAGTTATCACATAGAATAAAAATCCTGGTGTTGCTTGCTGTTTATTTTTTCCTTACACACACACACACACACACACACACACACACACACACACACACACACAGCTTTCTGTTTGTTTTTTTCCTCGTGTGATTATATGTGTATATTCCTCCGATGACAACTTTAAATGAATGTGTTTTTGCATATAAGTTGAACAAATATTCCATACAGTGGCCAGAAGAGAATGTCTAACACAGATGCTTTCTTCGGATATGGCGATTGTTAGATAATTATAATGTGTATTAATTTAGTGAAAATATAATAGGCTGCTTTGGGCCTTTTTCCATGTATAAAGATTCTTTTAAATTAAAAAAATCTTTAATGAATTACAATTTTAACTTTATATGTGTGTGCATGTGTACCTATACATATGCACACACACATATACATGGATATTCACACACATACATACATAGTTGGAAGCATTTTAGTTTTTATAAGTATTGAGACACTGGGATTTTTATATTTTTAGGAGGCATTAAAACTTCAGCAAGATGTGAGGAAGAAAAAACAAGAGATCCTGGAAAAACATATTGAAACACAAAAGGTAATAGAACGATAATAGTCAAATATGAAGCTTTAAGATAAAAGGGTAGATTTATGTAGAAAAAAATCTATTATAAAAGCAGTTAAATGGGAAAATAGAGAACAAATAGAATCAGTCCCTCTTTAGCAACTGTAATTGGGATGGCAACTCAATCATCAAGCAAAGCAGTTACTAAGTGAAAAATCATATGCTTACTATTTTACTTCAGCTTTCCTTTGCTTCACAGCGTTAGAAGGATACAGCCCCAAACAACTGAGTGAGCCCAAACAGTATGAAAGATTTCTGGAACTTGACACAAGGAAGCAGGATAAAAGGGCGAATCTTATAGCCCTTTCCCCTCACTCTCCTGCCCTTTGGAATGCTTACCCCAACACTGCGTTTATTAGCAAAAAAATGTGATCTTTATATTTACATGTATTGGAGAAGAAGGGATTACAAGAGAGTAAGCAGGCATACAATGGGAAATACAGATCTAAAGTAATGCATTAGTGCCAGTTCTTTGCCTAGCATGCTAGTAGCTACAAACCACCAACTGCCGAAAAGGCAAAAAAGCCTTCAGTATAAAATTGATTAGAGTCTTGTCAGTGTCAGGCAGCAGCCCAGCTGGATGATTCTAATAACCAACGTCCTAGAATCAAGTCTGTTAACTTGCACTTACCGCTTTTTAGGGACACACTGTGCTGAAGAGAAAAGCAACTCAAGAAGAGCTAGCTTATTTAGGCAAATCTCTCCTATCTGTGAAGGAAAAAGAAAAGAAAAATAGGTCAGATACAGGAGAACATTGGAGATTGTATTGACAAATACATGAGAGAAAGTTATCACGAGGATTGTAAATGTGGGCTTTAGTTGCAAAGTTATTTTTCATCTCTGTCGTAACTGCAAAATGTCATTGATGAAGCAGTTGTCCAAGGACTACCTATATTCAGTAATAAATAAATAAATAAAAATAAGCTTTATAAGTTTGGAAGAATTTTTGTTTCATTTTGTTTCTTGTGAATGAATTTTTCAAACAGATTTTTTTTTTAAGAAAGTAAACCAGTAAAATAGATCTTGGTAGTAAATGGATTTTTCTCTCTCTTTTTATTGTTGATCAGTGTGAATTTTACACATTTTTAAAAATTGAAACACATAATTGGATACAGGGTTTCAGTGTGAAAAACTTACAGCACATTGGTATTAGAATAAATATCTTTCTATGTTTTGTGTGTGGGAAAGTATTCCTGTTACTAAAATGATAATTCCACTAGATGCTGATTTCAAAACTGGAGAAAAATAAAAATATGAAGTTAGAAGACAAAGCTGAAATCATGAAAACTCTGGAGACATTAACCAACAGTATCACCAAGTTAAAGGATGAATTAAAAGGAGTTTCCTCAACAAGCACGCCGGTAAAAAACTTGAAAACAAGGACACAGGTATACAGATTTTTTAAATTTTTTTTTAAATTTAGTTATTTGTATCCAGCCTTTATTATTTTTACAAATAACTCAAGGTGGTGAACATATCCAACATACCTTCCTTCTTTGATTTTCCTCACAACAACAACTCAGTGAGGCGGGTTGGACTGAGAGAGAAAGAGTCCCAAAGTCACCCAGCTGGTTTTTACAGCTAAGACGGGACTTGAACTCACAGTCTCTTTCTTTCTATCCTGGTGCCTTAATCACTAGACCAGGGGGAGGCAACCTTGGCTCTTTTATGACTCGTGGACTTCAACCCCCAGAATTCCTGAGCCGGCAAGGCTCAGCTTGGAAACTACTCCCTTTCCCTCAGCATGGCTGGCTCAGGAATTCTGGGAGTTGACGTCCACGAGTCATAAAAGAGCCAAGGTTGCCTACTCCTGCTCTAGACCAAACTGGCTCCCATTTTATTCTCTTCAGAACTCTTTTATCTCTTTTTGTTATTTAATTAGTTTTGTTTTTAATATCTATGATTGCATGAATATATTTGTGACTGTTTACAATTTCTTCTTGCCTTCAGAAAAACAATGGAAAAAATATCCCCCCTTTTTTCAGTGCAAATATTTGAATGGGGTTTTAGTCCACTAGTTTTTCCCATACTGGTCGAGGGCTTTATAACTTGATAGATTATTGAATAGTTTTGTATCATAAGATTGCCATAATTTGCTTTTTAACCAGTTTTAAATGAACTAATTTTATTTTTTCCAGTTTCTGACTTACGATTTTATGCTGAAAATTAATCTGGAAAAATAAAAGTAGTTCATGTAAAACTGATTAAAAAGCAAATTATGATTAGTGTTCTGCTAATGTGTGTAATCTCTGTTGGGATCTTCCTTTTCTATCTAGCATCCTTGTTACACCCCATGAGATCTAGTAGATCTGGTATTTCTACACGAGTTAGAAAATGCAAACTAAATTGCTTTCGTAACTTTTTAGATGCAGAAAGAACTACTGGATACAGAGTTGGACCTATATAAGAAAATGCAGGCTGGAGAAGAAGTTACTGAATTAAGGAGAAAGTATACAGAATTGCAACTTGAAGTAAATATATTTCACCACTGATGGTTAACAGTGCAGATGTTTCACTTCTTGTCCACATAATGCAAAAATTGTTTTAAACGGAAATCATCTTAAAATTGTTTTTAACGGTGGTCTTGAATGTAGATATTTCTGTTCACTTGTCTTTCAGCAATTTTGTCTTTAACCTAAGTTACTATCAACAGCAGGTATTTTTACAATGTACCCATAGATGGCGCTATTGGTGTTTAGAACTAAAAGTATTGAAATGTCTCTAACCTATTTCCCTTGCCTTTAACGACTCACCGCCCCTTTTTCTTACTACTAATATATTAACAGTAATAGTTCTTTGTTAAATGTTAAATGTAGCTTGATGTGATTTATAAAGGGAATCATTAACTTGTGCAGCAGGCAAGTGTTAAAAAAAAACCTAACACATACATAGAGACATACCTTTCAGTTCGTTCAGTTGAATTTTGGCTCAGCCTATGGCATATATATTTGGGCATGGGTATTTTGAATATGTTTGCTTTAGTTTCATTTTCTTTTAAGAAAACTTAACGTTATCATCGAGGAACTAAACTATTAATGACAAAGCGTAGATTTGAATCCTCCTTTTCCTCCAGTGTGGCATAATTAGCCTTCCCTTCTCTAATTTTTCTCACATCAAGCAACCTCTGGAAAGTTCAGCCGAGAGAGAATGAGTGACCTAAAGTCACCCAGCAAACGGAGTCACTTCAATTGCTTTAATTTCACGAGCCAGCTTTGCGGCATCTTTCTGTAAGAACAGTTCAAAGAAGATACTGCTACATGTATCGTTACAAATTATACAGTGCAGAGCATTGTTCTAAAGTTGAAAATGCAGATAGAGCATATATCGCACTTGGGTCTCTATGAATCTTTTTTTTATTATCGCCAGGCAGCTAAGCGAGGGATTCTTTCCACTGGCCGTGGGAGAGGGATGCACACACGAGGTCGAGGTGTATCTCGTGGAAGAGGGAGGGGAGTTCGAAGCCGGGGTCGAGGAAGAAGTCTTTCTGTTCACGCAGTGGTGGATCATCGTCCTCGGGCCCTTGAAATCTCAGCTTTTACAGAGAATGACAGGGAAGATCTCCTCCCTCATTTTGCGGTATGTACCTGTCTGATTGTTCTGCTATTTTTAATTTTGTCTGCGGGTTGGTTTGGGTGTGGGTGGATGGGTAGGTGTCTTCTTACCTCTCTGACATTTTCATTGTGACTGATGAAATACTCAGGCCAAGTTAAAAATTGGTTGAACTTCTTCAGATGTTCCTTAGATCAGACAACTGTTGCAGTATTTTCCTGCAGGTGTGGAGAAAGTGCAAGACAGGATAGAAATTGGCAGGTTTGCATGGTTGTCAACAGTGAAGGAAGGGGTGAAAATAAGGAAACATCTGGGTTACTGATTTGTAATAAAGGATTGGATTGGAGCAGATTCATACTCCATGATATGAAAGTCTGTGGCTTTGATACATACATCATGACGTCATAAATCTGAGAAGTGGACCTTGCATCTTGCTTGTTTGATTATTCTGATAAAAGAGTGTATATATACTTTAGGGTTGAGCTTTTGGTGCTCTCTGAGCTTGGTTGCTTGCTTTCAGAAATTTCATTACCCAAATAGGTAGATAATGAACATCAGATAACGTTATCTTGTCAGTTTTTTTTTTTAAAAAAAAATGCTTAAACTTCTCTGATGTTCAGTTTCCTTTCAGACCATTTTAATACTATTTTTAAAGCACAGTTCTACAGTTTTATATTTGGGAGTCATTGCCAGTGCAAACTATTAAAACTGTATCTAAATGCTGCTTAAAGTTAGCAGGGAATAAATATGTTGCCTAGAATTGAATTTTTTTCCTCTTCAAAGCAATATGGTGAAATTGAAGACTACCAGATAGACGATTCTTCTCTCCATGCAGTGATTACTTTCAAGACACGAGCAGAAGCAGAAGCAGTAAGTATATACCCCCCTCTTTTTTTTCTTATATTTATATTTGAAAGTAAAGTATTTTCAAATGTCCTGTCTTTGGAGCATTGCAATCTCCCAAAATCTTATTAACTCCTATCCTTTTCAGTTTTAGGACAGTTATAACTTTTCAAGAGAGTTCTGCAAATATATCTGCTTTATCTCAATTATCATGGGTGTTTTATACTAAGCGCTGGAGGGAGGGATAAAATTAAAGTCTTCATTTTGGGCAGTTGTACTTGCAATATGTGTTCTATTATTCTAGCTTAAATTATTTAATTAAATACAATAAATCAAATAACACAGTATTTCTGGGAAACAACCTCAGAGTTTGCATCATAATCTGTGATACCAGAAAAGAGGGTATAATGAATGTTGGCTAAGAATATTTTCTGAATATATTTCTAGCATTCATTTAGCTGTTTCCTAGAGCAATGGCAGAGGGAAACAACATCTATGAAGAATATCTTTCATTTTTTTTTATTTTAATTGAAAATCAAGAATCAGGAATATTCAATATGAAACTTAATAGTTCTAAGTCAAGTTATGTCAGATATTTTTGTTGCATTCTTCACCATTTGTGAATATTCTAAAATTAGAATATATTAAAATGTTATTGATTTTAATTGTATTTAATTACTTATCTTCAAAAAATTAAAAATATTTTGGGGGAAAAATTTAACTTAGAAAGATTTGTGCCCTAAAGTTGGAGCTATAAAAGCACAGCATATGTTCATATGAATTTAATAATTTTTTTACTAGTGCCAAGTCACAGTTTGCTCAAATGTTGAACGTGTGCAAGTTTATTATGCCTCAGATATAATCCTATGGACACGATTAAAAATGAAAGATAATATGTATAAATACAATATATACAATTCTACTTGTCAATATATACAGCCTCTACTTGTCAATAAACTGAATACTGTACAGTATATTTTTTGAAAATATAATTTGAAGGTAAAGTAAAATCTTGCACCTAGACCCGAAAAACCAGATGAATAGGTATAAGATAGGCAGCACCTGGTGCAACAATATTGCCTATGAGAGATCTAGGTGTATTGGTAGACCATTGCTTAAATATGAGTTAGCAGTGTGCTGCAGCTGCCAACACAGCCCTGGGCTGTATCAGGAGAGGGATACTATCAAGATCAAGTGAAGTTGTAGTACCACACTATACCACACTAGTGAGGCCACATTTGGAATATTCTCTCCATTTCCATGATACCAAAAAGGTGCTAAGGCCCTAGAAAATGTGCAGAGAAGAGCAATGAAAATTGTAAGGAGTCTAGAGGGTAAATTGTATAATAATAATAGTAAAGTTGGAAGGGACCTTGGAGGTCATCTAGTCCAACCCCCTGCTCAAGCAGGAAACCCTACACCATTTCGGACAAATGGCTGTCCAGTCTCTTCTTAAAAACTTCCAGTGTTGGAGCATTTACTGCTTCTGGAGGCAGGTTGTTCCACTGATTAATTGTTCTCACTGTCAGGAAGTTTCTTGCTTCTCTCCTTGATTAGTTTCCATCTGTTGCTTCTTGTCCTGCCTTCAGGCGCCTTGGAAAATAGCTTGACTCCTTCTTCTTTGTGGCAGCCCCTGAGATATTGGAATACTGCTATCATGTCCCCCCTTGTCCTTCTCTTCGTTAAACTAGACATACCCAATTCTAGCAACCGTTCCTTATATGTTTTAGCCTCCAGTCCCCTAATCATCTTTGTTGCTCTTCTCTGTACTCTTTCTAGAGTCTCAACATCTTCTTTACATCGTGGTGACCAAAACTGGATGCAGTATTCCAAGTGTGGCCTTACCAAGGCATTGTAAAGTGGTATTAATACTTCACGTAATATGATGAACAGTTAAAGGAACAAGTATATTTAGCTTAACAAAGACTGAGAAGACAGTTGATATTACTCTTCCAATACTTAAAAGGGCTGTCATAGGGGAAAGGGTGTTGACTTATTCTCCATAGCACCTGAGGGTAGGACAAGAAGCAATGGGTAGAAGCTTGTCAGAGGGAGATCCAGCCTGGAAATAAGGAATTTCCTGATATTGTGAATTATTAAGCAGTGGAACTGCTTGTCTCTTGGAGTTGTGGATGTTCCATCACTGGAGGTTTTCAAGAAAAGATTGGGCAACCATTTGTCTCGGATTGTATGAGGACTCCTATCTTGGGAGGTTGGACTGGAAAATTTCCAAGGTTCCTTCCAGCCTTATGATTCTGGATTTGAATCTATGGAAAAACAAGATGATAGAAATTCATTTCTCAATAGGTTTCAGCTTCATACGATTTCTTTGAAGGAACGATAGCGAACATTTTACTGCCTTGAATGAAAAAAAGGTTGAATTTTATGATCACATACATTTGGGATGATTCCCGAGTCATGAAATGTTACATTTTTATGTTGCTGTAATTTTTTTCAGAGATTACCATGTTTTTTTAAAGCTCAAATGTCATATGTACTCAGTTTTTAAAATCCCACTTTGTGATGTTGTGACAAGACCATGTACAAAAAAGTCTTCCGAGTTGCATTTTAATAGGTTTGTGGTATCTTTTAAAATTTATCATAAATTTATATGTACAGATTTAAAATTTATGCCTAGGGACTTTAATATCACACAATTCATGTTCAGATGTCATTGGACATGTAATTGTTTCCACATTTCACATTATGCTGTACTTTCAGATTATACCATAAATCTTTTTTTGACCATGGCAGTTATTATTTCAGAATGATGCTAACACTGATTTATGCTAGTTCATGTTACTTTAATTTGGAGGTACTATTTCCAAAGCAAGCACTTAATGTATCTGATAGTTGAAGGCATGAATATCCCATAGGTTTATTTTTTTTTTTTAACAATTCAGTTGCCAGGCTTTTGCCGAAAATAGAATGTTTTACTGCAAGATAAATTAGATTCATGAAGCTTATTTTTTATTTATTTATCAACCCATTGTGTTATCAAGATGCCATGTTTTGGATTGCAGTCATTGATATTAATAAATATCGGTATTTTGGAGAAAAACACAAATAAGGAAATTATTCAGTAACAGTTGGCTGTCTAATATTGTACGATGCAAGTCTGAGAACTTTAATTTGAAGTTCTTTTTTTAACACATACAGCATTGCAAGATAAGGGAGGGTTGTAAAAATGTAAATACTTTCATATGCTTGATTATAAACGCTGAAATTATTTAATGGAACATTAAGCCTATGTTGCATTTGATGAATCTCTGTAATCAGAGACGGGCTTATTTTATTCTATTAAAAGCTAGAAATAGAAATCACAAAGTTAAGTAGAAGTATGCCAAAGAACTGCATTTGCTCTCTTGGCTTTTTTACTATTTTTCCTTGGAACAACATCACCCTGTGAGGTATCATAGGGCTCTTGATATTTCACTTTGTTTAAAATGCCTTGCTGCGTAGTGTGCTAAATGAAGTCTTTTAGGCATATAGGGATATTTGTGAGCTGTTCCTGCAGGCATGTGTATTTTTTAAAAAATGTTTTTGCCTCTAGGCCGCTATCCACGGATCTCGATTTAAAGGGCAAGACCTGAAGTTAGCATGGAACAAGCCAGTAACAAATATGTCAGCCGTGGAAACAGAAGAGACTGAGCCAGATGAAGAAGAAGTAAGTGTACAAGAAGATAAAGAAGAATGAACTTTTATCACTTCGTTTGTTCTGGGACAGCCTACCTCTTTTCTCAATAATAAATTTTTGGGGAAGGCATACGACTGATTAATTTAAGAGAGGCGCTCACCATTTGACATTTAAGAATGCAGGATCTCTTAAAGGAAATGCTATCTTGATAACAAATAGATATAGGAAACGATGAAAACATGGCGTTATACAGGTAGCGCTCGCCATACAAAACCACAATTTGGACTGGAATTTTCACCACTAAGAGATGCTGTCATAAGGTGCGATGTTACATGACCTTGTCACTTAGAGCAGGGATGTCAAACTCAGTTTCATTGAGGGCCGCATCAGCATTGCGGTTGTCCTCAGGGGGCTGGGTAGGTGTGGCCAGGGTGGGCATGGCCTACTGGGTGGGTGTGACCCACTGGGTGGGCACGGCCAGCTCTACATCGTTCGCATCAAGGGTGCCTGTGGGTGCCTGGGCAGGAGTGAGACAGATCTGAGGGTCTCTGGCAGAAGGGGGTGGGACCAGGGCAAGCGCCAAGGCATGGTCCACTGGAAGAGCCTGCTGAAACCCCTCCCCCGGAGCCCATCAAGCCGGATATGTGAAGTAGGCGAGGGCCATTTGCTGGCCACTTCCAGGTGATAGTGCATTTCTTCATTCCTCACAAAGGGTGACACCTCCCCAGTGTGCGCCAAGGGAGCGGGGCCAATGCGGCGGGCCAGTCCCTTGCTGTTTCTAGACGACCTTGTGGAGCTAAGACTGAATGCGTTTCAGCATAGATGGCCACCACAAAATTGTACATTGGCTCCCGGGCGGCCGGGGCTAAGGCAGCGGGGGCCATTCCCTCACTGTTTCCAGGATGGCTTCGCGGGCCATATGAAACCACGTCGTGGGCCGCATCCAGCCCCCAGGCCTTGTGTTTGACATGTCTGACTTAGAGACCGCAATCCCAAGCAGTCTCGGTGGCCATTGTAACTCCAGACACTTGTTTTCAGAAATGATAGATAACAGAACAAAATTGAAGTCTCTGAAATGCATGATATTTGTCTTTGTATAACGTGAACATACTTTTTAAAATTGTAGTACGACCTTACTACAAGAATTGTTCATGGTGGTGTGTACATAGCATTTATTGACGTTAACGACTTCACATTAATAATCAAACCTCTGTCCTGCATATTCTTAACGCTATGTATATATACAGGGGGTCCCCAACTTACAACCACAATTTCTGTTGTTAAGTGGGACATTTGTTAAGTGAGTTTTGCCCCATGTTACGATCTTTCTCGCCACAGTTGTTAAGTGAATCACTGCAGTTGATAAGTTAGCAACCTGGTTGCTAAATGAATCTGGATTTCCCATTGATTTTGCTTGTGAGAAAGTCACAAAAGGTGATCACATGACCCCGGACGTTGCAACGGTCATAAGTATGAACCAATTGCCAAGCATCCAAATTTTGATTACATGACCACGGGTGTGCTGCAAAGGTCATAACTGTGAAAAACGGTCCTAAGTCACATTTTTCAGTACCGTTGTAACTTTGAACAGTCGTTAAATGAACTGTCCTAAGTCAAAGACTACCTGCATTGTGGTTCCTTACAGTCTAGTTAACAAGTTGTGTGAAAATAGTATTTTTTTCTTTTCAATAAATTCACATAATAATTTCCAATCAAAGTTTCTTCAAGCATTTAGCATAGTTTTATTGCAAGTTTTTACAAAGATAAAAATTCACCCCTACTGCCAATAAAGATACATACGAGCTATTAAAATATATGTAACAGTCAGATCCTAGAAATATCAGTTGTAGGATAAATTATGAGTGCAGAAATTACACTGACTTCACCATAAATTTTATCAGAGTTGCTGTTCCGTTGTCAGGTCATTTATTTTATTATTTATGGTCTTAATCTCTGGCCTGTGTATAAGCACCTTCTAAAAGATGCATATTTCATCTCTGGGAAATTACTTTTGTAATTTTTTTCTTTAAAATGAACTATTTCCAAACTAGAGTATTTCAAATGAATTGCAGAAACTCGACATGTATTTATTTAAATATTTTTTCTCAATTTTTTTTCTGATACAGGAAATTTTGGTGCATTAACATACCATACAAAATGCAGTTCTCAGTCAATTTAGGTTTTTTTCTGCCTTTTCCATAGAGCAAGGGTGTCAAACTGATTGCATCATGCAGAGGCTGCGTCCACCCCAGCTCCAGCAATGCAAAAAAAGTTGCTACACATCACGACATGTCACGTGATGTGGCGAGCTTGACACCCATGCCATAGAGTGTGAATTTATTTTCATAGATCAATCTTTGTATCTCAAATGTATAGTAATAAAACAAAGAGATTATTAGGCAGCGTGACGTTCAAAGAGATGCAGCAATATGAATAGGAAGATATAAATGTGGGGAATTGTTTTCCCCATTTCTCATTCATGTTTCCATATACCACACTTGCAAATAGTCACCATGATACAAAAAAGAGTGCAAAAAGGGTGCAAAGAAGAGGAGCAAAGATGATTAGGGGACTGGAGGCTAAAACATGAACGATTGCAGGAACTGGGTATGACCAGCCTAAGGAAGAGGAGAACTAGAGTGACATGATAGAAACTTATCAAGGAGACATCAAAGAGCTAAGCAGAAATTCCTAACAGTGAGAATAATTAACCAGTGGAATGGCTCCAGAAGTTATGGTGTTCCATCACTGGAGGTTTTTAAGAGATTTTACTATTCCATTTGTCTGGAATAGTATTGGGTCTTCTGTTTGAGCAGACGGTTGGAGTAGAAGACCTTCCAAGTTCCCATCCAAATCTGCTATTCTGTATTCTAAAAAGAAAAAAAAAATAGTAGTTTAGGAATGCTATATTGCTTTATGCTACAGATAAATAAACACAGGTGAGACCTCATTGGATTTATATAATTTAGTTCTATAACCAAGTTTCGTTCTTTGGTGCACCATACAGAAGAAATTGGAAGTTTTAATCCCTTGTCCAACTATGGTTTCTTACATATTAAGTTGGAATTATGATAAATATTAACTGGGTTTTCTGAACAAGCCAGGATTGTTAACGTAAGTTTGAAGTAAATTAAAGACACATGATGACTAATACAGCCATTGGCTATGCTTATAGACAATGCTGGGATTTAAGGCAGGTTTTATGCTTTTTGCTTCCTTAACAGAAATCTAAATATATCTAACCGTTTGCTAAACAACCCATAAATAAACCTTGGGTTGTTTGCTAGTCATTTAAAACATCAGGTCATGATTCATATACAAGGGAAGACCTGGGATTTACTAACTAAAATTACAGGTAAAGCAGTAGGTAGAGTAGTCTTGAAGCTTTACATATGCTTGTATATATTTTGCCTGATGTGCCCTTCTATTTTGCATCATATTTTAGATATCAAACATTTGCCTGCGAAAACCTAAATAATTTGGTCATTTGGGTAAATTCAGTGCTAGCAACGGAATTCTTCTTCACATTTCATTATTCCACTTACCCCAGCATAAGGGCATGACAGAAATAATTGAACTCCCACCAAATATTCTTTGGTTTTCAAAGATCCTTTTCCAGCTCGGTATCTTTATATTGAATGAAGTAAATACAGGTAGCCCTTGACTTGTGAGCACAATTGAGTCCAAATTTTGTGTTGCTAAGTGAGACAGTTGTTAAATGAGTTTTGCCCCATTTTACAACCTTTCTTGTCACCGCTGTTAAGTGAATCACTGTAGTTGTTAGTAACACGGTTGTTAATTGCATCTGACTTCCCCATTGACCTTGCTTGTCAGAAGACCCCTGGGGAACACTACAACCATCATAAATATGAGTCAGTTGCCAAGTGTCTGAATTTTCAACATGTGACCCTGGGGATGCTGCAACGGTCATAAGTGGAAAATGGTTATAAGTGTGAAAAATGGTCATTTTTTCAGTGTCCTTGTAACTTCTTAATAGACTTAATGGACTATTATAAGTCAGTGGCAACCTATACTAATGATGGATGATGATTTTTTTTAAAAAATTGTTGTGTTAGCCCAGGGGTAGGCAACCTTGGCTCTTTTATGACTCGTGGACTTCAACTCCCAGAATTCCTGAGCTGAGGGGAAAGGGAGAGGTTTTCATCCTGTGTTAGCCAATCCTTTCAAGGTGCAGATTTGCATGATCTCAGATTCTAATGGATGTATTTCTTCCAGCAGAGTCTTATTAAATATTTCTTTTAGTTTCAGGAAGAATCCTTGGTAGATGACTCTTTGCTTCAAGACGATGATGAAGATGATGATGACAATGAATCTCGTTCGTGGAGAAGATGATTCAACTGATCAGAGACAGCGCTAGAGATTTAGCCTCATTGCATTAACATTTCCTAATGAACTTTTGAATATTTGTACTACAAGACAATTGGATGAAAAGAGATGGATTTCAAATAAGAAACAAGCAGCTGATTGATCCTGTATTTTGATTGATTGATTGATGTTCAGGTTGCATTTACATTTCAGTAAATGATTGCTACAGACATCATATTAGGAACATATGCAATGTTTTTATTCTATGGAAACATTACAGAATTATTTGGATTCTTTGTAATTTAAAATAATTGGTCATACATCAAAATGACCAGGTGTTGTTATAACATATAGAATATTCTTTGTTTGTTTGTTTCATTCCAAGTATGGAATGAACATTTGCATTTAAGATCTTTGTGAATGTTTTCAGAAATGATAGATAACAGTACTAAACTGAAGTTATGTATTCATAATATTGCATAGTAGTATGCTTAGGCTTTACTATGTACTAGCCTTTTGTTGGATTTGTGAACGTATTTTACGTATGAGTTTTAACGATAACAGTGTATGACTGCTTTGCATATATCTCTTTATCACCTTAAGATGTTAAAAAAAAATAAAGAAATGGAATGGTCTTGGGAAAAAAAGAAAAAAGCAATAATGAAATTATACCCATGGCCCATGATAATGGAGAAAAAAATTTAAAAAGATTAAAAAAAAAACGAGACCATTCCAAGTGGCAATCCCAACCCCCCAATTGTCAAGAAAAGAGCTGAATCACTGTCATTTTTTTCACTTTATAATGAATAAAACAATATCGAAAACAAGGCATTGAAGCCATATGCTCAGTTTACACACACACACACACACACACACACACATATACAGTGCGCTAAAATCTTTGGAAACACACTTTAAACTGCTAAACTGGCAACCTAACGTCAGATGGAGTTCCTGCATTGAAGCAAATCTTCTAACGCCCAGGGAATCGAGAACTTTCTCGTGTGAAGACTTGAGCTTAAAGATACATAACAAAATGAGTTACAAAACTGGTATGTATTTTATTGGTTATTAATCACTGAAAACAGTTCAAAGAATCCAAATAGAGTTTTCTATCAAAACGGTGTATAGTTTAGACCAAGTAGCGAAATGTGTCCTAATTCTGTTAAATGTTGTATTTGTTTAAGCAGGAAGTTGCTTTCCTTCGCTCTTTACTAAGCCTTTTTGATTTGTACTTTATATTATAATGAGCCTGATAAGTAACTTGAGATTTTTTTGTTATTTGGTCTTTTTTTAAAACTTGCCACTTCCTGTCCCTTTTTTAACCTTTTTCTCAGAAGGTGCCAAATTATATAGAGTAAAATACAGGAGTAGGAGGGATTATAGCATTTAATATTGAATTGGACCCTAAAACAGATTATAGAAATTTGTTGAAGAACCCTGTTTTTCTGTTGCAATTTCCTCTTCCTGTAGTCCAGGAACATTTCCTGGTTTACAATAGCACTTTTTCTAAAGATCACAAGTAACTCAATTGGAAGGAATAAAACATACTTCCATTAATTTCCTTAAATTATTTTACCTAGATTCCAAGCCATCAAATGTTGTCCTAGAATAGTATTTTGTATATCCAGAGATCAGAATTTCAAAGTGCTGTAATATAGTGGCCTTGCTGAAGCTAAACAAGTACAGGTCTGAACATCAATTTAAGATTTAAGAATATTGCCTCTGCCTCTGCTTTAAAAAAAAGTTGGCTCATAATTAATAACTAATTACAAAAACATGTATTTCATAGAATACATTGTTGCATTACAAGAGAATGTATTTCTGTTTTCTTTTAGGCAAAAGGAAAAAAAACGACGCCATGTAATCTTCAGTATTTCAAGATTTACAGCGCAGACTGAAGTACAGTACATCATTCTTAACAGAAGTAGGTTCTAGAATCTCTTAACTGATTTTTAATAGAATCTGATCCATAGATTGCCGATAACTAAGGTGAAAAAAAAACCCATGATAAATGACTACTTGGACTTGAAATGACTCTGTTTATTTCTTAAAATTCTGAATGCTTTTAGATGCCATATTTGTTGCCTTTTATTGCAAACAACATTGAAATAAATGAGACAGCAATATAAGATATTTTTTGTTCTTCAGGTACTTTCAGCATAGAAGTACTAGAAAGATTCAACTGCAAAAATTTCCCACAATTTGAATCTTCCCTAAGCAATGTTGGGAAAATCAGTAGTCAATATTACCATGGATAATTTAGGCTGCATTATCTAAGAAGTGCTGAACCAAGTATTTGCTTCAACACTGCAAACAATATTTTTAAATTTCTAAACAAGTAGATGGCCATCTAATGCCTTGCTTCTGGAAAGAAACCTGAATCAAGGTAGGCTTCATTTTTAATCAGGTACGTATAATTGTATATATTTTGTGGGGAAAATGGATTACTTTGAAAGAGCAGTGGTGCTAAGCAGTATTTCTTGACAATTTATTGTGATGATTTACGTCTAGGGCAAATGACACATGTTCAGCATTGCCTTGAAAAGAGCTCAAGCATCATAGGTGATTTGTTCATTTCATAATTTCTTTTTGTGGATCGTTGGTTTAGATCCCAATAGAAGTTTCTCATCCCTTTTCCTTCCTTCATTATCCTTCTAGAGGACTATTCTCAAAATCATGCAGGAAATTGCAAATTGCTGATGCCTCAAAATCAGATTTAAATCCCAAAGTAGGTTAAAGGTGTTTGCTGAAAGACATTTCATGATTTTTCAAGATCCTTGACGACGGGATAGAAAATTTTATTTTTTATGATTTTCTTTCAGTTCGGTCTCTTAGGAACTACTAAACCAAAGAGCATGAGTAGTGGATGAATCCCCATTTCATAACTCAAAGCTTTCTTTCTTTTCATTGTTTAGCCTTCTGTGATCAATCAGATTGTAGCAGTTCTAGATCCAAACAATGAAAAATGTGTAGCATGATCTCTGCGAAAATAAGTTGGCATCTGACTATTTCACATAACCGTCTTATAGGAGACTGCATTCGTTAAAAAAAAAATTATCCTGTATACTGCTGAGTAGTATCACGGCATTTATAATGCCAGCATTAATTTATATAGGGTTGGATTAATAATTACAATTGTTTTGGGAGGGAACGTTGATCCCAAAAAGACTTTTTGCTTTGGGGAAAGGATGGGGGTTTCTTTTTCCATGATAAATTGCTTGGAATTAATGCTGATTCTTATGTTCTACAAGCTTCTGTTTACTTCAGAGGTTGCACTCTTCACTGCAGAACAAACAGAGAATCAAGAAAATGGCCACTCCTATTTTTTGCACAGCAAGTAGTTTCTAAATGTATTGGTATTCAAACCATTCATTATTTTTTTTAAAAAAAAAATTAGAGTTTTCCCATGTTTGAGTATAGAATGTTATAGCATCACAGTTACAAATGAGGAAATGCAGTAGAAGCAGAGCCAATAATCTTCAGGTAAGTCTACTGTAGAGAAACAGGTAAAGAGCAACACCTGTAGCTTCTGATGTTTATGTGCTAATGCAGCTTTAAGCCAGATTTTTTTCTTAATTTCCCCTAATTTTCTAACAGACCTAGGATTTCTTGATAGTCTTCTACCTACTGTGTATGTTAACTGGATACGACTTAACTTGGCTTTTTCAAGAGCATTCAAAATTGGCTTGATTCTGCAACCTGCTATGATGGGCCTATAATAAGTATGATTTAGGTCTAGTTTATTAGTATAAATAGATAAATTGGTATGTTGTCTATGTAAATTGATAGATTGTAAAATTGAGGCCTAACCTTGAATTCTCCAATATGAGTATAAATAATCGGAGTTCCTGAATAGGATGAAATGAAAGAGTAAGGGAAAGACGATAAGATTCCTTGTCAATTATCAATTGACATTAATATTTGTTAATAATTGTTACTTTCCCAAAAGGTCGTAATATTATTTATACGGGTTTTTTTTGCTAATATTCTACTCCATTGATACCTTCTATACGGCCAGTTAGCTCTGTTTGATCCCATAACTTTTGCTCTATTTAGAAAGACTGTTCTCTGGTTGTTTTAAATAGATGCAAAGCAGAGCATTGGATACATTTCTGAATTTTGGTTTGATGTTTTGCCATAACCATACAAATGAATAATTCCATAAAAAAAAAAACTGAGCAGGAAATAAAATAGCTTTATAGAATGTTTCTAATGCCTTTTCTTCTGAGGTTCGTGATAGCCAAGTTAACATCCAAATGAAAACAAATATGCACCCTTAAAAATAGCAATTTATTAAAAGTTGTGAAACCTGATTGGATTTTTTTTTTTTTTTTGATCCACTTCAGAAATGTTTCCCATACCTCATTAATTGAATCTCTGGTACCCTCATTAACCAAAACTTTGAACTATTGCTGAACGAATGATTATTGGTTGAGGAATAATAGTAATATTATTAACAACAACAACAACAATAATAAAAACAGCACTGAGTCTGATCAACTGATAAGGGCTATGCAATGCTTCATAGTTTGAAGAAGAAAATGAATGTTGAGAGAGATATTAATTTATTTTTAAATTGGAGGAAGAAAGATCCTAAAGATATACACATATATATGTACACATGCAGACAAATAAAAATAAAGTGATATACCTCTCTCTCTCTCTCTCTCTCTCTCTCTCTCTCTCTCTCTCTCTCTCTCTCATTTTGAATCAGGTGGTTTCTGATCCATCTTTAGAGATGAGAAAAACGAGTAATCAAGTTCAATTATAGTTTATTAGAAAAGGTGTTTGTTGGCAATTTGCTTTTTTTCTTTTGAATCTTGGAAACTACATTTTTCATTTTGCTTATTTAATGCTAATATACCTTACTAGGAGTTGCTTGTTTTAATTCTAATACTTTTTATTGTGTTTTTTCTTTCAATTTACCCAATTCTTGTTCAACACACAAAAGATGCAACTATCTTTGTCCAGAAAATGGTAAAGTTATAAAGTTATTAGAAGTTGTTTTATAAAATTTAAAGCCTAGCATATCTTGTATTGTATTTTACTAGCTTGATATAAAAATGCATGCATTGAATGAAATGCGTGGAATTGATCTAACACTATATATTTTTGTATTGCTGAAGCAGTTTTTTAAAGAGATGTTTTTATATTTTTAACTTGCCGCCAGAATTTTGTGTAGCTAGTAGAATATTCAAAATGTTTTAAAAATGCAAATATAAGATGAAGGGTTATCTACTCTTGGTCTATTTATGGGTTGCAGGCATAAGAAAAATTATTTACTCCCAGTCTATTTTGAGGTTAAGTGTGTAAGAACGATAAGTATATTGTTTACAGAGTTGAGGCTAATATGAAAAAAGTATGGCATTGTTGCACAGTTACAATCTGAGAGTTTTACTATTGATTGATGATTTTTCTCTTGGTTTTACACTGTACTGAGAAATATTGCTAAATGTTATTGACAAGTAAATGGAAAGATCTTAATCTTTTGATTTAAACTGACATCTTCAGTTCTCTTTCAAATGATAAACAATTTCAAAAACAACTCAAATATACTTGAATGATGAAGTCATATTAATGAATCTAGTAGACTTTTGATATTAAACAATATTTTTCCTAAATGAAAGTTTTAATCACCACCTAGTATAACCTTTTATGGAGGTTATACAAAAATAGAAAAGCAGATAAAAAGGTTTAATTTCAATAATTTTCATCGTTCTATGACTTTTATAATTAGGAAAAAAAGCCTTTCTGTTATAACAAAAGTAATTATTTTTAGTCATATATTGGAGAATGAAATAAAAAGCCTACACTTTATAAATGCTGTGTGTTTTTTTTAAATAAATTCTGCACGTTGGAGGCTAGAGGGCACTGTCTACATAACTAAAACTAATTTCATTTTCTTTTATGTATCAGTTTATCATCAGACCTTTGCAATCTTAACAATTGAATGTTTATGTTTTGCTAAGCAAAACACTGTATTTATTCCTACAAAGAACTCATTTAAAAACTGTTTTTATCTAAGCCAGTATATTCCTCTCAGGGATCCATCATTGCTTAAGATCATAATCACGAAATCATTAATGGAACTCATACTAATACCCCACAGCAAATGCAAGCTTCACCTGTATTATATCGTGTACATTGATATACATGCATGTTAATGAAAGAAGTTCAGAACACTTCAGTGAGTTGTAGAAAAGCATTTCATTCTGGAGAGAGCCCACAACTACTTTCCTTCTTTAAAAAAAATACAATTGTTACAGTTTTATTATTCATAATCTCCCTATTACAATAAACCTGACTTTCTATTTAGCAGCTGCTTCCAATATTTTTCCTGCTTTTTTCACATAAACCAAATGGACACTTCTTCCCTATTTTTGGATGTTCATATTAACATTTAGAAAATAGGAGCTACCCAGAACGATCAAATTGTGATGCAGTCATTGAAATGAAAATAAGAAAAACAGAAAATGAGCATTTTCATGTTTTGAGGAGAAATGACTCAGATTTAAACAATCAAAAGTATTGTTGTCCAATCTGCAAAATGATATATGATAGTCCATGTATTTACTGGCTAAATTTACCCTCAGATGTTTTGTTGTTTGGTTGCAATAGACTAATATGGTTACCTATCTTCTAGTTAAAAAGATTTATTTATCCTTACCATTCTCTTTAACAATCTGCATTTTTAATTCTAAATAACCATAAGAAATTCCTTACTAACCAACATTTGGCAATGAAGATTAGTTCTTTATATTGTAATGCTCTTTAAATATTTTTTATTTTAATATAAAAATATATTTTTAAAAATGTTATAAAATTTTCTACTTGTTATTGTAGAATTTTTGATGCTTTCAACATCCAGCTTTAACAGAACATTTTCATATTTAGACGATAAGGTTGAAATATAATTTATTTAATTAAATAATTAAAATCTCATACAAAAATATCTTGATTAATTTTGAGGATAGTTCTTGTCTTGTATATACTTCCTAATTTTTGCTTCATTATTCTATTTGTTTTCTCAATATTTCCACTTCCAGTTTATTCTTTTCCTTTCTTAAAAAAAGTAGAAATCTCTGCTGTAGGTTTCAATTTAAAATAAAGGAAAACTATTTCGAGTATATAATGTATATACAGTATATTACTGGCTAGAGCAAGGAACAGTACAACCAATACATTACAATTATTTCTCTTGAAATTGCATGTGAAAAAAATGTGATTGATCTTGAACAAGATCATTGATAATGAACAATGATGGCACGATATGAACCAGGGATAGTGTATTGCTAAGATGGGTGTGCAAACTTCCAACATTATTTGCTGGTGTAAATTAAGTTTAGTTGGAACTTTCACTGATTCTTCTTTAATTTTTCCATATTCTAAGATATTCCATCAATCCCTGGCATTTTCTTGTTTGGCAGTGACCAAAGTGCTGAACCAAACTTATTTTTTTAATATGACAGGTTTTTATAAATAGGACATATCTTTTAAGATATATGTTGCCATCTCTAGTGTACAGAATCATACTACCTTTTCCATTTTTATCTTTAAACTTGTTACTCTTTAGTCATTGCTTTCCTTTAAGATAATTTGAGGTTACAATGATCTTCACTCATTTCTCCCAAAGTGAGACGTAGCAGGATTTTGGACATGTAATCTCCAAATTGCAGCCTTCTCCTGCTTCAGACTTATTAATTTTGTATGGGTATTTTATATGTGTAGGTGTAGGTGTACATTTCTAAATGTTAGCTTGATCAAGTAGAATAAGGCCAGTACAAGCAATTTTGCCTAGTGAAGCAAGTATTTATTTGGGATATATTTTCTCTCCATCTCTCTCTCTCTCTCTTTCCAGCCAGTTCCAATTCAATATCCAAATTCCTGTTGCATTTGAGAAACAATATATCTAGACATTTATACTGGAGCAATTGGAGAACTCCAATTTGACACACTAGCAGGCGTCTGCTAACAGCACAATAATTTGCTTGTGCTTGTAATTCTTTTCCTCCTTCCCTGTTCTCTTCTCCTTTCTAATGCTGTGACTTTGCCTA